TGACAAGCCAGACAACTACGTACCCCTTGCTGACATACTGTCATACACATCAAATCCATATGTTGTCATGCATTCAAAATCATATCCAGTTGCTTGACTGTTTTTTGGCATGTCATGCATTTGTTTTGTTATGAACCATCTACCTCCAAACAATAGATGTACGCAAAGTAGCCTGGGCTAAGACATAGTAGGGGATTCTCCTGTATGTGGACACGCGAGTGCAGCTATATGATTATCGATCGTCTGTCGTTCCTGACAATCAACCTTACGCAAAGGCCAAGCTCTGTAGCCATACCTTATATGGTATGAAGATTGAAACCTGGGCTGCTGATTGGCTGACAAGTATTTCGCAGTTCGTGCAGCTTCTTGGTGACACGAACAATGAATTAGATAAACACCAAGTATTCTATGTATGCCCGTATACGGCGACGTTGCAAGGAAAAATCCATATAAGGCGAACAATTCCGAGAAATTTGAGAGTGACTTAATCTTTAAACGTTACCTGCATCTTTGGGTAATAACCATATCGCCTGACGTATAGCCCTTAGAGTTCAAAAACGTATAATTAAGTCACATTTTTTCTGTAAATATTTTGTCAGAAAAACCAATAGTAGAATCAGTAGATAGCCTCCACACGGAACGTATCGCACAGTAGAAAGTTATAGACAGCTGCAGAGACGCAAAATAATAATAAAAAGTTTTAACGACAGCATTTTGTGCATGTACATGAGGTCAAGACGGGATAAAATCCAATAGTGTATAGTGCACAGCGCTGTAACAAGGCTGCGTTTGGTCTTAGGTAGGTAGAATGATATTTCAACATCGTATGCATGTACATATGTGTATGTTGTATATTACCACGACTATGACATGTTTCCAGAACACACCAGTGCTTCCGTCATTGACTCTTCGAGTCAGTATATACATCGTTACAGTACATTATGTAAAACAGTACAGTGCCAGGCTAGGAGCACCCACTCATTGGAATACCCCGGAAGTAGCTGTTACATGTACTTCGTTTGGCTCTAATATTTGTAGTCTGTACTCCTGAGTTGTGTTGATACTATTCGGCGTCTGAACGTAAACGAATGGCCCTCCAACAACGTCAACCCGCTGCAATTATATATATAGGCTTCTATCTATAGCAATGACGCAAAAATGTAAGTCAGAACTATAACAAACAAATCGCTCAGCACACGTCGGCTCACCTGGTGGAGGTCAGAGGTCACGCGCCCGTCATGTTTCCAAATAAGGAAACCCGGTAATGTACAGGTAAACATGGAGCCTTAGGGGGCACGTGGCAAAACAAAGACAGTGAAGCCAGTCGTGTGGGTATCTACGTACAAACGACATTATTGTAGCATCAAAATATAGTTCCTTATGCTTATTTACATAAATTTTAAACTCACTAGAGTGATATCGTTGCGATTAGTTCCTTACTACATTTCAAAATTACAATGTTGCAACTTCATGTTTTTCTTGATTGTCGCCACACAAGCTTTGAATTCTGGGATGGGAGGCACCGATGACTAACACCTTACATTGTTTACAGGGCTTTCCCTGATGTCATTGAATTACCGACCATTATTGACTACCTGTCATGCTCAAGAATAAATCAGTTGCATCTACCAGCAGGCCTCACTGCAATACCTATTTTGGTAAGACATAGGGAATACAGATCTGTGATTGGCGCACAGTTCATAAAGCTACGACGAGGTCAATCAAATTACACAAAGTAGAAAACTGGCCATGTCCTTATATGGTATAACAGTTCGGAAAAGACCCATATATGGGAGATCCTTCCGAGAAAAAAGCGAGTGAGTTATCTCTTCAAGAACAGGTACGATCTTATTTTTGTCCCTGACGGTTACCTGGGTTCTCTAGAACAATATAAAAGGGCAGCGGAACGACCAGCGCCAGACTTCGCCACGACTCGAGACGACGAGTGTGATCTTCAAAAATCCTCCTCGACTCACCTGAGCAGACTGTAGGAAATCCACCTCCGAGGTGTCCAGCTTTCATCAGACAGGTAACGTTACCTACTTCTACTATGAGTGAAGTTCTAGACGTAGATGTCTGAAGTACTACTATGAGTTAGGTTTTTGAAAAGAAAAGCTTTCCTTGAACAGTACAGTGTTTTAAGCTACTAGTATCCTATGTTTTTGAACCCCAACAGATTGAACATCAGAGATACAGAGAATCATGGCCGCGTGTGACGACGAGACTCCTGCCCTGGTTGTGGATAACGGCTCCGGCATGTGTAAGGCCGGCTTCGCGGGGGACGACGCGCCCAGGGCCGTCTTCCCGTCGGTCGTAGGACGACCTAAATATCAGGTAAGGCATGTTACGTCCTTTCACACACGGCTAGTAATTTATTTGCAGTATTAAACACAAGGTAGATTAAGTGCCCTTTCAGTTCTCAACGTAGCTGTTATCGTTTTTCATAGCCTCAAATGATCGGGATGGGAAACAAGGACAGCTATGTCGGTGACGAAGCGCAAAGCAAGAGGGGCATCCTGTCACTCAAGTACCCGATCGAGCACGGCGTCGTCACCAACTGGGACGACATGGAGAAGATCTGGCACCACACCTTCTACAACGAGCTGCGTGTCGCGCCTGAAGACCACCCCATCCTGCTGACAGAGGCTAGCTCCTCTCAACCCAAAATCCAACAGGGAAAAGATGACACAGGTAACTTGTGGGTTCTGTTCTAGAAAATCCTCATTTGGTTGGTTATTCGTGCAGTTTGTCCAGTTAATCTGACATTCAATCTGTCGATGCGGTTTGAAACTTTCGTCGCTTATTCCAAGTTTTTTGTCAATCCCACTATAGATCATGTTCGAGACGTTCAACTCTCCCGCCATGTATGTCAACATCCAAGCCGTGCTGTCCCTGTACGCCTCCGGCCGCACCACGGGGATCGTGATGGACTCCGGGGACGGCGTGACCCACACCGTGCCGACTCTACGAGGGGTACGCCCTGCCGCACGCCATAGGACGTCTGGACCTGGCTGGGCGGGACCGTGACCGACCAACCTCATGAGGATTCTGACGGAGAGGGGGTACAACTTTGCAAACTCAGGTAGAAATTCCTTACACAGCCGGGTTTTTTTGATCTTTGGACTTTTATAATGTAACAGTTCTTCACAGTTTCTCGTCGAGCAGTTTCAACAGTAAACTAAATTTACTGATGTGTTGCTTTCTAGCTGAACGCGAAATCGTCCGTGACATCAAGGAGAAGCTGTGCTACGCCGCCCTGGACTTCGAGCAGGAGTTGACCACAGCAGCGCAGTCTTCCAGCCTGGAGAAGAGCTACGAGCTGCCCGACGGCCAGGTCATCACCATCGGGAACGAGAGGTTCCGCTGCCCAGAGACACTGTTCCAGCCCGCTACTATCGGTAAGGCTTATTCGTGACTAGCTGATATGATAACTTATAACGCAAGGTTACTATGCTTCTTTGTTCATAAAGCTTCAATGCAACCTCTTTGGCAGCAAAGCAAACATTGGGAATTGAAACTGATCTTACACCGGGTTCTTTTGTCCCACAGGCATGGAATCGGTCGGCATCCATGAGCTGACCTTCAACAGCATCATGAAGTGCGACATCGACATCCGTAAGGACCTGTACGCCAACACCGTGCTGTCCGGCGGCACCAGCATGTTCCCCGGTATCGCCGACCGTATGCAGAAGGAGATCGCCGCCCTGGCACCCAGCACCATGAAGATCAAGATCATCGCTCCTCCCGAGAGGAAGTACTCCGTGTGGATCGGCGGGTCCATTCTCGGATCTCTGTCCACCTTCCAACAGATGTGGATCAGCAAGCAAGAGTACGACGAGTCCGGGCCTTCTATCGTCCACCGTAAATGCTTTTAGATTTCTCACACGCTTTTACTTTTTTGTAATTACAAACCAACAATTACTTATGAAGTAACAAGCAAGCGTTGGTGTATATGCAGGGCGTAAGACTCTTATTTCTATGCAATATAACGTTAATTAAGCTGTAACTACAAACTTTATTCAGGGCTGGTCCTTGGTTATACTGTATGTAAATAGTCTATCATTCTCAAAAAGTTTGTAATGGGCAACCTTTACCTTTGTTTGTGTTCAAGGGTTCAACGTTAACATTATATAACGTTAACGTTAACTTAATGTAACCTTAAACTATCTGCTATCGATACGTGCTGCTTTGTTTTGTATATAACGTTACTGGTCAAGAAAATTATGACAAAATTTCTGCGACATATTTATCCATTTAGTTTGGAATGCTGTACGAGAGAATGGCCATAGCCTGTTTCATAATACATGTAACGTTACTTAACGTTAAATGGTAGAAACCGGTAACGTAAAAAGTTTGTTTTCCATAGAAACCAAGGTTACCTTGTAATTATGCCGTTCTGTGTGTATTTTTTGTATTCAGGTGTTACATTATTCAAAGCCTGTAATAAAAACAATATCTCGGATATTGCTGTGTTTGGGTTGTCTCCTGTTGTTTGGGATATTACATGTATTAGCTATATTCATATGAAAACAAAACAAAATGTTACATTTAGTCTAATACAATATAAATGTAACGTTAGTTACAACGCGTCAATTAACGTTAGAAAGTTACTTGTTCTTCTATTAGTTGTCGAATTGGGAATCTTTGAAACAGGTTCATTATGTTCATAATTGATATCACGACCATTCCAAATATCTGGAAATTATGTTTCTGAGGTAATATGACTTTTCCATTTCAAAGACAGGTGAATTGGTGGTTTGACAATAATTTGGCCTACGTCAAGACATTATTTTATGTTTTATCGACCCTTAAAACTTTAAAAAGGTTTTAGTTTGCTCAGCTAAGTTGTCAATTAGAATAAAGTGAAGAAATTCAAACGACATTGCGGATTATGATACTTACAAAACAAAAACGTCGTCTGCAAAAACAGAGAAGATTTCGAATGTGTCGTCTGCTAAGGTCAGAGGTCACCGCGCCGCCGCACTTTTAATTTCCATTATTGCGCAAGCGCCTTCATGCCAACCAGCCGCCGGGGTGGGAGGAATCTTGCCGAATGCCAGCGGATTTTAGGAATTTTCTCTGGAACTGGCGCTAGCAGCGAAATAAACCATTCCCCAACATGACACAGTCTAGGTCAAGGTACGAATGTTTGGGATTTTGCAGCCGATTGACTTAACTTGTGCGAAACCGTACGATAATCCATGTAAACATTTCTCGGCTTGCCATGACATAGCTTTCGATACGGGCAAATGGCGGCAGTGTTGCATAAAACATGAGTCACTGGAATCTTTGTCAATAATCATAGTGTAGCGGGGATAATTTTTGTGGCTTGATGATTTTCAGAAAGCGTCACAGAAGTAGCGAGGAGGATGAAATGGAAAATGCGGGGTTACAGCACCCAAAACGGCACAGTGGAGAAAGGTAAGGACTGTTCTACAACAAAAACAACAACAGTACGTGACATGATAGGGGTCAAATTGTCATCATTTTTCTTCTAAGAGATCTTAGTAATGAAATTATGTGTCGGAAAGCCACAAGTCTGCTGATGCTGGTAAGAACCGACAATAGATTATTAATTTCTATTTTTGTCATAATTTGAACTATTAATTTGTTGTCAGTTGACTTGTATTTTTTTCCTCCCTCTGACCACTTGTTTGAGTAATGATTAGACTTATATACTGATGGTTTTCGTTTTCATCTGTTAACTAATTATCTACTATCAATAATTACGGCTATTTTGACATCACAAAAAAGTATAAACAACCAGTTTGGTCAGAATCGCTTAAAATAATAGGTTGGTCAGAATTTTGCATTTCTGTTTTTCGCATTGTTTGTTTTTTGTGTAACATATCTGAACAGAGATGGGCCATTTATAACGTGATATGTTTGTCTTTCCCATAGAAACGAGTTGAACCCCGCCTGGTTACCAAATGCAAAGCCAGACAGAAGACATAATGGCCATTTAGGATCAGAGGTCAGTACAGATGTTGGATTACTTCATGAAATTATCTGTTTAAACTTAGTATAAGTTGTACAATGTACATGTATTAGTACTGTAGTGACTAAAACACTGATCCTCACTTCAACTCTACAGGACAGTTCCAGTAGCAGCAGTTTGGGCTCCCCATCCCAGTCAACCAATCAGCAGGCAGCTACCAGTAACATTAGCCAATCAGAAGCCATCCCTCATCAACTTCTCCACCAACTGAGTGACAGCAGCAACCAATCAGAAGAGGAGGTTATTCTAAATTACTATAGCCGTATCAACAGAGTATTACACCAGGCACATATGGAAAGGTTACAGAGATTGGGTACTCAACAGCCAGATTCCAATGACGTTCTCAGATAGGTATTGTATGATAAGACCTTATCCTGTCCAAAGAAACTATTGTTTTGGAATCAACATGTTCTCAAAGTCCACAGTTTTGTCGATCGATTCAAATGCCATGTGTTACTAGGAAGTTTAGAAGTTGCAAATGTTTTAGCACATGAAGTAATGGTACTGTTGTTACCTTACACTTTGTATAGTAGAATTTAGAAATTTTGCATTGAGGACAATATGTCATGTTACTCTCTACATGTTGTTTCCAATGGAAAATCCAGTACCATGTTTGCATATTTTACAAAGGTTGAACTGTATCTTGATGTAGAGCGTTAGTGTTATAGACTGTCAAATAATATGTTCAGAAGTGATACAAATTTAAGGCTTTTAATGTAAGTTTCCATTTTTAGGTAGTTGTATATTGCAATGTCAACCTTACTTTTGATTACTTTGTGTATGTCCGTATATACAGGGTTTCTTGATATCATTTTGTTATTTAAGTATTTTCTCTACATAATTATGATGTGGCCAGGTCTGATATATGAATATAGATATTCATATACATCCATATGGCCAAACTTTTAATGGCTTGCCACATTCTATACCTATTAACTCCATTTCATGGTAAACTTTTATAGGCAGAAAATAATTCTCATGCATACAAATTGTTTTCTGTGGTAAGTTAAAACATGTTGGAGGACCAAATTGTAGACAGATTCTTGCCACCATTTCATCAATTGATCCTCAAGAGGAATATTAATATATAATCAAGATACATGTGTTGTCCCTTCAGCACACAGTTCCTATCTGTAGTTGTATTACTTTGAAACACTGTTGCATACCACAAATATGTTTTTAATGTCATTTCATAAACTGAACCACATGAAGAAGGATATCCTACATGTATAAATTTTGACATGTTGCCAAGGGTTGGTGTAGGCTCATAGCCTCCTGCTGCAGGCTTTTGGAGACTGGCACAGGAGAGTTGTTTGGTAGCTAGCTTCATTGTAACAGAAGTCTCTTGCACCACTTTATAATGCCTGCAGTTGGAGGCTAATTCATACATACTAATGTTACTACGATTGAGACTTCTCAGTTATTGGGATTCACATTCATACAAGTTAAATTGGAGTGATAAGTTGAATAAAGATTCAGTTTTTAGAAGTACAAGCTGTATTATTACATGCCACAAAAAACTTGTGCAAAGGAACTTAGGACTGTGATTTGGTGCTTGGAAACACTGCCATTAACATGAATTGCCTATGTCAGACACCTCAACATCTTTTTCATTTATGTTGCCAGACTTGCTATTTGATTTGGGACATGTGACAGTTTATGGTTCTTACTACATCTTGTAATGCATGTGTACCATTAAATTTATATCATTTCTTGCATTTTGCTGTTTCGATTGTCCACATCGAAAATATTGCTGCTATCCCATATTGTCCCTGTTGAGCACATCACCTGAAAGCTTGTTTGATGCATTTTTGATACTATTTGCTTACCTTCTATGATTTTTACTTATACCGTATTTATGATGATGATGATGTATTTGTAAACTACTGAAAATGTGCATTTGAAGGATAATACAGCATAAGATCTCTCCACTGTCAAATGTATGCAAACTGTCATACCATTAACACAAAAGTCGGGACACTGGTAAAGTCTCTACAAAGGAAAGAGATCAATTTGACTGAAGCACTGCAATTATATTCTTTGTACCAAGCAAAATATTGATCAAGTTACTCCCTTGTTCCTGAACTGTAATGCTGGAAACTTTCAACAAAAGCCATTTGTATGTCATTGAGACAAGTTCATCTTGTTATATACTAGTACATGTTATGTGAAAAGTTAATAGCTTGTCTTCCACATGTTTTGTTTCCACAGAGGAGTTGAATAAAGTTCCTGAAAGTTTACCTGTTGACATTCTTCCTCCTTTTGCTATCTTATGTTTAGTGGATTGGTGGATCCCCATTATTTAGTAGTGTGCATAGTCCACTAGTGACCCTGCCTCCAGACCAAGAGGTTGTGGGTCTGAATACTGATTGTCACTATTGGAAAGGGTTGCGGTCTTTAGACCATTGTCCACTCTCCATTGTACTTGAAAAAAGCTACAGGGATTTTTGTTGTTTCTATTTTGTCTACCTTTTTTCTTGAACTGGTATCTTTCTTCGGGTTTGCATTAAAAAAAGGTATCAGTGCAATAAAAGCCTAAAAACATGGCAAAAATACGCCAAAACCTCTGCTTGGAGAGTATACATACAACAATCACACATTCTGAAAAATGTAGGGGTTGACAGTGGACACATTCATGCAAGCCCAGTCTACACCATCAAAATTCTATCAGGAAAAAGGATGCAGTTAGCCTATTTCATTGCTTCTCATGGATGGTAGTGAGCGGTGTAGGTACATTTGTGTGAAGCTGACACCTCCAGTGCTACTACTGTACATTGTCTGAAACCATTACTAGCTATTCATATATCAACCAGATGATGGTAGAAAAATAACCACAAGGCTTCATTCTCAGGGTTTGTATATTTAGTTTAATGATGATCCCTTTCCACACAAGAACATGTTACAACTGAATTCTCTCATACAAGGGAAATATCTAGCTGGACAAGCTGACTGGTAATGTTGGATGTGAAAGTTCCTCTGGAAGTGAAAGTTCCTCTAAATTCATCTGCTACTGTCTTCTGTTGTTAGTGATGCTTTCTCATCATATCATGCTCTGTGGAAGGAAACAGAAGTGACAATGTTTTAATGACATTAATTGATGAAGTAAAATACAATAAGGAGAAAAGACAATGTAACCTGTCATCACATACTCATCAGAAAAGGTTTTATCAGTCTAGTACTTATTTCCATTGACATTATTAGGGGAGTTTGGAAAGACTACATTTGTAAATAATACACGTATAAACGACAATTTAGACAGCCACTTTATGTCATTGATTACAAGAAGCTTCTAAGATAAAAGCATCCATGTTATTGGTAGACATGTGATAGGTTTAAAGGCTACAAGTGTCTAATGTAACTGTGAAGTGTAAAATGTTATATGTTAAAGGGACGGAGACTCACTGAGGTGATCGTAGGACCAGATGTAGCTGAGGATGCAGTATCCAGTCAGCATCATGGCGTACGGCGCGATGCCACCACGCCTCACGTGGACGTACTTGTTGTGGAACTTCAACTCAGCTGGAAAAGGAAACAAATTGTAATAAGGCTGCAGATGAAGACTATAGTAATAAAACCACACCTGTCATTTTTGAAGGATGAAAGTACTTTTCTTCTTCATACCAGCAGGTGGTACTTGGTACAGGTGGCATTTGAAATGCACATCATTCTAGACCTAGTACATGTGTATATTGTATCTCAATATCAAAGTATCTTCAAATTTGAGTATGTTGAGGCTTAAGCCAGCCAATTTTGGGTACAAATATCCAGTACATATTACCATCGCAGGTTTGAATGCACTAGCCTGAATATACAGGTTCATAGTAGTATAATTTATGATTCCTGATTGACTGCTTTGACTGTATAAATTGGAAGCTTTCCAAGCATTTTCTCCAGATTTACCTCTTTTAAAGGCGAAGTACACCCCTGTAGGTGAGATGTCTCTCCGCCCCACCCATTTGGGCAGTTCTCCCAGCTTCACATCCCACAAGGGCAGGTCTTTCTTGGCTGAAGTAAGGAAAACAGTAAACATAAATGGGTTTAGATATGAACGCTTTTACATCTGATCAGGAAAGTCATGGCTACACCATCATATAGTGCCCCCCTCCCACCCTAACCGGTATACCCGCCACGGCAAGGTCACGATTTTCATCGGGCAATCCACCACCAGGCTGGCAATTGTTTGGGACATGTATGCCACAAATAGGACCTTCGTGATTAGAAGACATTACAGAAGCTTCGTCAGGGCGACATAAGCTTGAAAATTAAGAGAAAATGGAAAATACTCACGAGGTTCAGGTATCTGACTCGCTGACAACCCCATCTTTGCCCTTCCACCGGTACGGGGAAGAATATTCAGATCAGGTCACTTGTGATACGCCGCGGCCTTACTCGTCAAGTGAGAAATCTCAACGTCTATCGTTCATATATTACAGAGAATTAACAATCTTTATATATAAAACAAATATCGTTATTTAATTGTCTCAGGTCTCTTTGAAAAGTTGCAATATTGTCAATACAAAAGCGGACTATTTTGTTAATGTGGAAGTATACTACGTGAATATGACGTCTTGTCTGCCGCGCAAGAGCGACGACTAGCAGCGACCGTACAAACTGCAGCTTAGGGAAATGTACCTGGGAAATGCAGCTTTTGAGTCGAACTCCCTATAATATAGTTCCAAACATCCTGGTCTTCATGCTGAAGAGCTATCTGACTTTCTAACTTATTACCTCCATGAAATGTGTCATGGAGGTTATATTTTCAGTTGCGTTTATCTGTCCGTCTGTCCGTCTGTCTGTCCGTCTGTCCGTCTGTTGGTCAACAAGATAACTCAAGAACGCCTGGATGGATTGGTTTCATACTTGGTGTGTTGGTAGGGTGTGACGAAAACTGAAAATGATTAGATTTTGGTCCCCCTAGTGGCTTCCCTTGGTACTGCAGCGCAACTTCCGGTTTTGATATCTCGCGATCTGGACATGCTAGGGTCATGAAATTTTGATGGAAGGTAGCTCTCGTGCTTGGGAAGAAGTCATATGAGTTTGGGCCCCCTAGCGGCTTGTTCTGGAACTGCAGGGCACTTTCTGGCGAAATGTTTAAAAGCCAATAAGTCCAGACAGGAACAACATATTTTCATTATTTTTGGTGTGTAGGTAGCTGAGAGAGAGATGTACATAATTAAATGCAAATTATGCAAATGAGGACTTTATTTGCATAATTAATGAGGAAATTCTATAATTACAGTGTTTTACATTATACTACTTACATACATGTAATGTATGTAACCTATGGCAGGCGGAACTTCAACAGATACTAATTATGCAAATGATGACCTAATTTGCATAATTAGTGCGAAAATTCTATGATTTCGTAATGGTGAATGATGAGAATGTCATACTTGGGACATCTGTAAGTTAATCAAAAGTTAACATACATCACGATGCATATATCATGTTAATGCAGAGGTCATTTGCACAATTAAAGAAGAAATTTACATTTACATATCAAGATCATATTTCATGGAGGTATGAGATCTCGGAATTCTAGTTTAGATATCAATCATTTAGAGACTCATTTATAGTGAGTGAGTGATGTATAGACCAGTTATATTGATTTTCAGACTCATTTTGTCACTGATGAAAGACTCGGATAATTTATCCAGTTGCTTGATTTATTTCGCATTATGCAAAGTAGATATTGGCTAGCTTGTGTACTCTTTCCACAGTCAAATATGACAAGCAAGGACCACTCTCAACTGTTGATATAATCATACTAAAGTACAACATCATTTATTTAGATATGTATTAGGCACATCCACATACATGTATTCATATTCATAATATATCTGATTCATTGAAGCAGTGTTGCACTGACAAATAGTATTTATGGGTTCACCACACCACGAAGTGGTGTGGTGAAACCATATTGCTTTTTCTGATGTTTCTTCTTCTCCTCCTTCTCCTCCTTCTCCTCCTGCCATTTTTTAAATGGATTCAGCTTCTTCATTTTAGGGCCTAAGGTCCTGAAATTTGGTATGGAGGTACAGTGGGCAAATACCCCTAGGCGTTTTTTAAATTATTGTGATAAAGGCTTTTAGAATGGTTTTATTTGAGTTTTTTGGCTGTGTAATAGCTAATGTATTACTGTGTTAGTGTGCCTTGTTTACCACGTTTGGGTCATGAGTCATCAGAATGGAATGCAGGGCATCAACCAATAGGCATGCAGCTTTCCTCTATACTTCTTGCTGATTGGCTGTTGGGATTTAACTTGATTAACACCTGCACAGAAGCATTTCCATACTGACAGTATGTCTGTATTCAACTGTTTTGGTAGGTATTTCAAGCTTTCCTGCTCCAGCATTGGAATGCCGGGCATGGACGTTTTTTTTTTTATTTTGAAAATCAACAGTTTGCATTATGCAATTAAAAATCCTAACCAATAAAGTAGGGAATAGCTATCCAACTGTTGTTTTAGTTGTATTTTACTTCATATTATAGTTATATCAATGTAAATCATTGTTTTCCCTTGTGTTTCCCATTCTTTCCCTGCCATGTCGTAAAATGTGGTGAACCCATCGCTGTATTTGCTCCAAAGCAAATATTGGCCTTTCTAGTTCATATATAAGTTTCCTTTCCACACAACTTGTCATGGAAAACAGCATAGAGTGCCATTTACTGTGGAAATAGAACATGTATGCATGGTAAAAAAAAGATACCACATTAGAATTCAAGTCTCAGTTGTATTTTTCCCCATTCTTCTGTACATGTACATCACTTTTGGCAAGCTTGCATAGCATCTTGCACAAAGTTAAAGGGGTCAGCACTACGACCTGCAGCTATTTTCTTCTTACTCAAGGGGGTGCTTCTGCCCTGTTCTCGACCACTTGCCTTCTCAGTCTTCTCCTTCCCTGCCCTGTCTCTATTTTCCACTGTGCCATTTTGGTTCAGGTTGTTCCGCTTTTCCCCAGGTAATGTTCTGTCTAGAAATGTGAAATTACTGACAGTATTTTCAACCTCTGCTCTTGGCTCCATCTCAGGCACACTAGCAGGCTGACTTGAAAGTTCTTGAACTGAACTTCCTGAGGTAAGATATTCTTCAAGTAAAACCTCACTTGAGTTCCCTTCCTTGATTTGTTCTTGCACCATATCATTCTCCTGTTCTGCGTTAAGTATGGGTACATTGTTGTTATGCTGAGTTTTCTCTCCTGTTCTCCCACTTGAATCAGAGATGTCCAGAAATAACAAGTCTTGCAGATGTGAGGTTTTCGAGGAAGACGTTTGCCGCTGAGTACCTGCTTGTAAGTCATTCTGTGTACGTTGTATGTCTTGGTTATCTAACAGAGTTTGAGAAACTGCACTTTCACCTGCAGCATTTGTCTCAATGTTGACTAAGTGTTTACCTACACCAGTTTGCAGTTTCATTCCAGAGAAGAGGGAAGTTTGAAATTTTGAACTGTTAGGGGCTTCAACTTCTAGGGATGTAGGTGGCATGTACAGGACTTCTTCTGTAGAAGAAAGACAAATAATGAGAAATACCATGGAAATACTAACAACCTTACACCATGTGATAAGAAGAAGTTGCCAATGAATCACATTTTGAGAATATCTAAGCTACTGATGACTTCTATGATGTACATCTAATGGTACAGTACAGAAGACCAGTCTGAACTAGTTGGTCGCAGGGAATGTATAATAACAGAAAGACATACAACACAAATTTAATACATGAAGTAGTACCTGTCTTTTGTGGTGGTTGCGGTGGTGGTAGGAAGGTAAGCTGTCGGAGAATCTGAAAAGATGATCACAAGACCAATGGTTGAGATTTCTTCCTGAGAGGAGCCCCTAAGTTTAAGTCCATTATGAGCACTTACAAGACTTGGGCTGTGACAAAGATGGTCAAATTCACTTCTGTATGTCTGACATGCAACTTTTACAAGGATAAAGCTTTCAAGATGGGAGCGGCAAACTGTTCTATTAGCATGGACCAACTCCCCTGGCATGTCATCTTTCTATTTGGCCAATATCTACTCTTTCCAGCTGCTTCCTGAAGCCTGGTAGAGGCTAGTAGATCACAATCTCTACCCTAACATATCTGAAGCCAGGCCCACCTTGGTGGCTTTAGCCTGCTGTGCCCCCTGTCTGCCTGTACTGAGGGTCTCCAGTGTCGGTCTGAACAGTTCTAACAGCTGTTCTGTTGTCACCAGATCTGTCTTCATCAGGTGTTCCAGTACAAACAGGATCCTCTACACATTCAGACAGATAGTAATAAAGCAATTATTGACACCTTTATCTATGCACAATATTGTACTGGGCAACATGGCCCATCTTGAATGCTAATTAATAATAATAAATTAATATCTACAGTGTAGTTTTAGTAATTGTGGCAGTAGGAAAAAAACAGGATGCCAAATCATACTTTGCATCAACCCCCTTTTCAACAAAAATGTACAGATAAAAGAATATGACTAAACAGAAATTTGTCTTCACTACTGAAGGATTTTTTTCTTCTACATAACTCTATAGCTAGTAGCTACACCCTGATGTTTTTAACTCTGTGAAGAGAAAGTATAAAATGATGTGACCAAACTTACCAGTTGTACCTGAGCATCTGAGTGACTGAGTTTGTCATTCAGGAGTTGTAAAATCACATCACAGTTCAGAGCAGAGCACCTGACAACAGAACAACAGTTGTAGGACAGTCAGCATACACACTACCAAATCCAACAGGTCAAATTGCCAACAACCTATCTACTTTCTCTGGTGTTCATTGCTTTTTTTCCTCATGTGGATATGCCTTCAATCAGAAATGGCAACATGTGCTTAACATAACTTTTTGATTTATGAAATACATGTATCAGTTACATTGTATGATAAAATATATTATTTAATCACACTTATAAGTAAAAAAAAAACTGATCAGAATGACTGTATGAAACTTGGAACTTGGATCTTTTTGCAATAATTCATCTGATATGCCTGGTGTTTTAGCTGTATCTTGCAGCCCAAATTCCAAATGGGCTAGACCTACAGTTGGTCATATTACATGTTAGGTAACCCACCTTTTGACAAACTGTTGAAGCTCGTCCCTACTGGGGGGTCGTGTGGACGGAGCCTGTCCGAGACAGCTGGTATAGTCGGCTATCAGCTGTGTCTCATGGGTCCTGTCTTCTACTGACACTGTCTCTAACCTACAGATACAGGAAAATCTCAACACTTTTCATTCATCCTCAAACTACATGTATCCTGCTGATGCCTGATTACTGATGCATTCAATGCTGCAATTCTTGACTTGTTCATGGTACTTTTATGTTCGCATACATGGTATACCAACACATGGTAGTGTAAATATTAGTACACATTTGGAGAGTATTTTCAGGAACTAACCTCTCTGAGAGTTCCGTGCTGTCACCACTGTTGTCAGATTTGCTATGTGTGTTGTTGCCATGGTAACGCTTCAGAGTAGAGTCCTCCCAGCCTCCCCCAGCTTTACCTGCAGTGTGGTCTACAGTCATAGAAAAGAAGATGTTGTCAAATTTCATCATTTCTACGTTAACTGGTGAATATGAAATACAAAAGTATTGTATATTATTAAAGTTAAAATAAAGAGTTGTTCTCACCTAGAGCTTTCGAACGATCACTAGAGGTCTTCTTCAATACACAGAGTTGATGTATGTCAAACTTCAGAGAAGCCTTAGTCTTACTGGGTCAGTCTAAGAAGACCAGATTGTGTGACTGGCCAAAAGCTCTAGGTGAGAACAATCTTTTGTATTGGATCAAAAGTTTTAACTTTTAACTCTATCAACATAGATGAACTTTCATGACAACATGAAATATTGTAATTTTCTTTCATGCCTAAAAAGAAACTGAAGATCATCCTACGTGTTTTCCTCTGAGGAGAGACTTGAGGAGAATACTGCATTCCTGGCTGTCCCCCAGAGGTGTCAATCATGGCCGGCTTGTACCCGCCCACCACGGCACCAGAACTGTGGGGTTGAAGGGGCTGCCCTCCTATTGGCTGGTACTGATTGTTGTTGGACACGCCCTCTGTCCACCCCTTCAAGTTGGACAGGATGGTCGTACCTAAAGATTCTGGGAAAATTAGACATTACATGATGAAATAAGCAAGGAGCAAAATGGCTTGGAGAAGACATTTTCTGCAAGTAAAACATCCTACACATAACGCAGTGTAAACTCACTGTTAGTGTTCTGTGCTGCTGTGTTTCCAAACCCCTGCATTCTGCCAGGTGACGTCTGGAGGTTACCAATGCCAGTCTGAACACTTAGTCCTGCAAGGGTTAAAGTAGGACAGAATATGATGAAGAATAGACTGAACGTTTATTGAGCTAAGTTTATTGAGATAAGTTGGTCCGAGATTCTAGCAAGCAATAGACACCCATATATATACACAGCTGCAGAGATATTGAGTTAATAACAAAACTAAATCCTTACTGTTGTTTGCAGATAAAGGCCTGTTGGGAGATCGCTCACAGTTTTCTGTGTTAAACAGGATGGAGGAGACTTCCTGTTAAAAGAAATGGAGAAACAGTTCAGTTCACTCATATCATGGGAAATGCAAAAGAACAATACAATATGTTGCTTTTTATATCCATACTTGAGAAGATATGAACATGACATGTCAGACATCCCATTCACCTAATCAGGACACTACCAGGTGCCTCTAACATGTACAATGTACGTGCTTGGAGTTCTAGGCTTACATGGTACACATTTACATTTACATTTACAGTATGTCATATATTCTAGCTGAAGTATTCCAAGTATTTATTGACTTACTGTAGCAGTTTTTCTCACTACCACATAGGGTGCATGGCCATGGAGAGGGTCAGGAGGTCCACTGTAACCTACAAGACAAAAAAAGTTATATTATACATGTAACGTTACATGTATATGTATAGGAGGGAGACACATGATGTTTTGACAGCAAAGAATGTAAGGGTGAACATTATAACTGTTTAAAGTGCTTAAAATATAGCTTAAGGGATATAATTATGTCTTTCTCCACAGATATGGTTTTGAGGAGTTTAACTCCTTACTTGTCGCTGCCTTGATGCCCTCTGCCCTCCTCCTTAGCCCCTGCTGAAACTCTGACGGCCCATTTTCTATCAGGTGTTTCATCACACGTAGCACCTGCAGCAGGGGAGGGGCCACAAAGTCAAAAGTCATCCTAGCAGTAGTAGATATCATTCAGTCTGACACAGATTTATCAAACTCACACAAGTTCCAGAGGTTTAACTGGAATTCTGCGTAAATCAGTTGATACAAAAGATGTCATAGCTGGCAAATTAGGAAATGCAACCATGACAAAGCTTTAATGTTTGTGACTTGTGTAAACTGACCTTGATCTTCACATGGAAAGAGTCTTTGTTAAGCCTGTCCACAAGGTAGTCCAGCACCTGCTGGCACTGGCTGCTGGACTCATGGAGCATGGCTGGAACAACAATGTAACTACATAACTACATGTATCTTCATAGGGACTATCAACACATACTACGCATACCAGGGTATGTTAAGTTGTCAACAATTCTTTGCCAATCAAGTACTAGTACTAGTACGTACTAGCAACATGAGACGGGGACAATCGGGTGAACTTTAAAACAAACACAAACAAGCCAAAGAAATAATACCTCAAATTTACTGCACAGAACAGTAATGACAATTTCGTTTTCATGGACACTTGAGCAATCATGTCTTGATGTTCGAGTCTCTGTGTATTAAGTCGTACCATTGATCTCCTGATACAGATATCCTGGAGTCGGGCTTTCGTCATCAGATGTGGCTTTTACCAGCGTAGGGAGCTGCAGACATGAAAATATAAATACATCAAGGACGCTATGGGCAAAACATAAGATATAAGTTATATATTTTTGTATTCTGACGTTGTACTCATGAATGTAGCCTGACTAAATCGCGCTCCTGGCGGCCGCCGCTTGGGGTGGGGGTCATTAACCTCCAGCCGAGAGCTTGTGTATACACAGGCTATCATGAATGATGCATACTTCGTCAGTAGGAAACTCAACAACGTACTGTATAAGCATGCTGCAGGATGGCAACGTATAAAAGTGACGAAAAAAAGTAATACATGTACGTCATTACGCAATCGTGTACATCTGATGTTGACAAAAATATTTATAAGCGTGGGGAGGGGCATCCAGGGTCGCGGGGCATCCAGACTTAGTTTGATATTTTTAACAAACTACAATGAAAGGCAGAAATAGAATCATTGTAAATGATGCTACAGATACGTGGCCGTCATAAACACACGGTTACGTTCTAATAACTTCCTTACCTTTCCTACAAATGTAACTTTTTCGACTAAACCGGAAACAACTCCGCTCGTGGCAGCCATCTTGGAATAGTCAACTTTTCCCCAGGGGTAAACCGAGCAAAATATCAGTCACATCTGTTAGGGTGAAATTCTACAGATTTTTTTATGATTCTTGAAATTATCAATACAAATTTATGTTTTCTTTGTTTTTTCTTAAATACGGGATAAAATTATGCTTTAAATGTTGATTCATAATATTATGAGAGCGCATGCGTTGCCACGTGGCCGCCATATTTGATTTGGCTGGTGTGTTTCTGACTGAATGAAGTTTGTTGACTTTCTTGGACGGAATTCTTCCGATCGGAGCGATTTGTGTCACAACTCGGAACACAGCGACATCCTCGACTTTTCCCGTCAACGTGGGAACTCGGAAGTTTTGTTTTTGATGTCTGGCAAGAAATCCTAGAAGATGATCACGTAGCGCGTATACACGGTGTTGCTGTTTATTTATTCTTTAGAATTTTAAAACACGTACGCATGACCTGTGTCAGGTAACAAAGGTGAGAAAAACCTGTCGGACAGGTGAGAACAGAGGTCTATTTTATTCCGTGAGAGAGAGTTTGGACAGTTTTCCAAGATAGACGACGAACGGGGGCTTACCATCATGTCAGGCCGCCACAACAACTGGCCTTTCGTGTTAAACCTGGGAAACTCCATCATAGGAGTCAGTATCCTGGCCACGCCGTACTGTTTTAAAGAGGTAAGTCAACAGGTGCTGTTGTACTTTAGGCAGGTGTTTAGACAAGGGGGGGTGATACTGCTATTGTGCTATTTCTGGTTCAAATGTACAAATACCCTGAACTTTGGCAGAACAAAAATTATTACTACGTGGCACTGCTGGAAGTAATCTAAGCAAGTAAACCATCCTGTCGCTTTAACGTTATAATATATATATTTTTTTTATTGATGACAACAATCACCCATATTTTAAGGGCTCAGATTGGTTTGAATTAGAATTTATGATTTTGTACATAAATCAAACTGAGTGACTTTTGCATCTTTTGATCTTGGATTATGAACATGCCCCCACCTCTGTATGACTGCAACCAAACTTGATTAATAAATTAAAAGCAAAGTTACCTCAGAATTTGAATGATCAATAAATTATTGTTCTCTAATTTACACTGTATTGTTGTTTTATTCTGTGTGTTGTTCCTCCCCTCACCAGTGTGGCATCCTGCTGGGGTCCCTCCTGCTGCTGTGTTCAGCCTACCTCACCAGAGTCTCCTGTAACCTGCTGCTCAAGACAGCGTTCGCAGCTCGAAAACGCTCCTATGAGTTCCTGGGTAGGGTTTTTATGTTTGCTAAATGCCATTTGTAATATAGCAAAATTTGAATAACAAAAAAAGAGTCGATAGACAACTTGAGTGTTAGATGCTTACTTCAAGCTTCTTGGGAATAAATGTGTAAACAGTCATAATAAAACGTAATAATGTTCGTACAATAAAGTTTCTTTCTGCACATGTAACGTTGTGAAAACATAAGTTTGTATAAGAATTGTGTCTCATTTAAAACTGCATTATTTTGGCTCCAGAAAATAATTATAGTTTGTTTCCACTTGAAGTAGAACACCGTGAGTAGAAAGATTTATGTTATTCATACTTCCTCTACAGCCTTACATACTTTTGGAGCAGCTGGGAAGTTAGCTGTAGAAATAAGGTGAGATTACATGTTCAGTTTTGAAGTTGTATTTGCATGTTCATGTACCTTTCTTGTTTTTGCTTTAGCCATTCATGGGAAATTGACCCATGTAGACATTATTTCACTGAAATGTTTATATTTTCAGTATTATTGGGTTACTGTTGGGAACATGTGTGGCGTTCTATGTCATCATCGGTGACTTGGGACCTGCTATAATTGCAGAGATGACAGGACTAGAGGTAGGTCTGAACAACATTTACTTTGTAGCCACATATACATGTATATGTACTTTTTATAAGATTCTGTGCTTTGTGTCATCACACAGATAGTGTGATGATAGTGTGATTTACAGTGATCATGTTACTAGAGGTGTTAAACTCCAACCATGTTATACCCACTTGACAATGATGCTATGGCAGTATGGGCCATAGCATCATTGTCAAGTTTTTGTGCTAGTCATTCATTGCCTGTTTTTTTTTTCATCCATTTTTTTTTTCTAACGAGGGTTATACATGCTTGTCCATGTGTGTGCTTTAGCAAGGTGAAACTGATATGTAATAATACAAAACATATACATGTACAGTAATATACTCGTTACTCTGCCCTAGAATACTGCCAGTCTGCGGGCGGGGCTGCTGGTGTTTGTTGCCATAGTGATCGTCACACCTCTGGGGATGATGAGAGACATCACCAGCTTTACAGCAGTCAGCACCATCTCACTTCTCTTCTACTCTGTCTTCATCGTAGAGGTAAGACTGGTGGCTTCTTCTTCCAATACCGCGCCCTAGTTACAGTGGATTAACAACCTACTGCCCCTACGGCCTCAAATTGTCTACCTCTACCTCTTCTGTTATTTGACAATTTTATTTTATTGCATTTGTTGTTCTAGGTGTTAATGTGGGCGATTCCAAACCTGGTGTCAGGGTCCTGGATCCAGAGAGTGGAGATGTGGAGGCCGGCAGGCATCTTCAAATGTCTCCCCATCTTCTCTATGGCATTTGCATGTCAAACGTATGTTGTGGTGTTGTTATGATTGGAAAATTGCTAAGAATGACAGCCAGTTTACATGAAGACTGCTGTATCATGAATACTTGATAGAATTATTTGTTACTTTGGTACAGATGTGTTAGCGGAGGGTGGCCACAGTCTTAGGTAACACAGTATACATACATGTCAAAGATTAAGATTTTTTCTCTGTCTGTTTATGTTCTTAACCACAGTCAGCTGTTTGTGCTGTATGGTGCCCTTGATGAACCGTCAGTCAAAAGGATGAACAACATCGTACAGGATGCCATCAACATGGTGGGGAGTATCTACCTCTGTGTAAGTGCACACATTTCTTCAGGACCTGTTCTTTAATGTTTTTAAGTCGAGTTTCTAGATTTGTGTTTTTGTTTGATTGTGTGGATGGATAGACAATGCAGAATACTGGTATTTTGATAGCTCTGTACATTTTGGGAGTAGAGGACCAATACATTTCATGCCCTATACAATATTGATAAGTCTCTTAATTCAACAACCAGTGAGTTTTCACCTCCAATATTTTCGTGACCAACTAATTTGTAATATTGCAGAAACAACACCTAGTTGCAGTATGAATCAGAACTAGAGCTGTGTACCTAAACAAATTTTAGGTACAGGTACAGGTACAGGTACACAGGTTTAGGTACAGGTCCGGACCTGAACCTGTACCTGAACAATTGGACCAATTTATATGCTCTTCTGAACTCCTTCAATAACAAAAAAAACAAACAAACTTGATAGTTAAGGTTTATTCTTTGTTTATGGCGAATGCTCAGATAAAATATAGGCAAAACTTAGGTGTTATTGTTTTCATGAACACACTGTCCTTACACAGGGACCCATTGTTAACCAGCTATTTACACATTTGAGGTCACAAATAGGCATAAAATTGGTGTGAAATTGTTTAGGTACAGTACCGGTACTGAGGGATTAGGTATTTTGGACCTGTACCTAATCAATTTTTCCGGTACAGTATCGGTACTGCGTACCGGTACACAGCTCTAATCAGAACCATTCATTGTTGCCTTTTACTGAAACGTCAGATGTGAAAACCCACTGGTTGTTGAACAAAGAACCTTACAGTCCCTTGCCAACCTGATGAAATTATTCACAAACATTTCATACACTGTTAATCACTAATAGTTCAACTGTTCTTTCAGGTTGGCTTCTTCGGATACGTGGCGTTTTGTGAGCTGGTGAAGGGTGACGTCTTGTTGAACTTTTCGTCCACGTTCATGGCAGAAGTGGTGAAGATGGGGTTCTGTCTGTCAGTGGCTGTCAGCTTCCCCCTCATGATCTTCCCCTGCAGACAGAGCATCGACACACTGTTCTTCAGAAAACATGTGGGTTTCTTTCTACCTTCTCCAAGGTTTAGTTTTCGGTTCCTTTCGTGTGTGTGTGTGTCTGTCTATGTGTAAATCCAATAACTTGAGAAGGATAGGATTGTCTTGATATTTGACATGTCAGTAGGTCTTGATGAGACCTTGAAATGATTAGGTTTTGGGCTCCCTAGCAGCTTTTTATTGTACTACAACAAAACCTGTGGTCTATGTTTTGGATGTGGTATGGTCATAATTTGTAGTTGTTAGATAGCTATTGTGCTTAGAAAGAAGTAATATAAGTTTGGGCACCCTAGCAGCTTGTTACAGTGTGTGATAGTTGAAAAACAGCCAGGGCCATTGACAAAATATTTGTGTTTTTGCCATGTTTTGTTATCTAGGAAGTTGATACAAAGATTGTTATTTTTATCTTCGCAGAAGAAAAGCATTGTTTTTGCTCCATCTCTTCTTCTTCTGCATCCATTCCAAACAAAAACGATCAATGACCTGGACAAGACAGCTGTCACCATGGTAACTGGTGCTGTAGCAGGCAATCTGTGGTGTTGGAATGCATTATGTAGCAAGTAGCAGGCTAGGGGCTGGTCACCATATATATATGAATGTGTTTGAGTAAGAATAAACAGAGCAGTATTTTGTTGGGCTAGACCATCACCATGTGAAGGTGACCATTATGCATGTGCTAAAAATGCAACCATCCAACTTGACTTTTCCTCCGTAGGTCCCAACATTAGAGAACATCCCTACAGGAGGAAACTACATCCCCCCTCTGAGGTTCAAAGCCATCACTATGAGTATCATCATCTTTTCTCTCATCACTGGGATTGTCATCCCTAACAGTAAGTAGAAGAATGCTTCAAGAAATAACTGTCTTGAGGCATTGCCAAAAACCAGATGGCCATTTCTTGCCTGTATACAGTATACTTGCATATATGCGTACATCTCTACAACAGTATACTCATTAAAAGTAATTAATAGGCAGTAAAGAACTTCATGGTAGAAGGACAAGAATGCCATTGTATTGTAAAGCACATTCAGTAAGTATCATCATAGTATTATATATAGAGCATTATTGTGAAGAAAAGGTTGTGAACTTACATAAGAAAAATTCAAATGAAATTTTAATGAAAAGAAAAACAGTGAATCAATTTCACAAGTTTGAATGTAAAAATGATTTCCAACACAGAACTATGTTAAAATGTTTAGTTTAGCATTAAAATGTACATGTACTTATTTGATGAAATGTATTTCTATTTTGTCCACTTTACCCTCCCAGTTGAGACAGTCCTGGCGCTGACAGGAGCCACTACTGGAGTGCTGATCTGTTTTATCTTCCCTTCACTCATGTTCTTGAATGTCTTCAGCGCACAAAGCTCAGGCAAAATCACAGCACAGGTGCAGTATACAAACCAACATCAAATGTACATATGTATCATGTACATTGCATGGTTTTAACAATACTCTTAGCTCCAAATGTTATATCCACATTCTTGAACACTGTGTATTGTGACTTGTCTTGCTGAGACTTTGTAAATTGTTGACTTCCAGGCTTGCTCTAGGTACTTTCTCATACACATTGTACATGTATTGCTACATGTATACTTGAAGCAACTTAATTACATGTAACGTTACTTGCAGAATACAAATGTACATTATAGGCATTCATACTAAAGGCGTAGTAATGCATTAACTATTTATTGAAGAATTAAAGTTTAAAAGAATCGTATCTAGATATACTGGTAATTTGACATGTCAGTATCTCTTTCCATTTACAAGAATGTATTTCATACTAGTATTGTTTTTTATGTTGGATATGAAGCAACACAGTATTCAAGCATGTGTATAACTAGTATTTCTGTACATGCAGATTGCGTTGTTTGTAGGAGTGAGTGTACTGGTGGCCAGTACATACACAACACTCACTACTCCTGGTGAGGCACCTGACGTCCAAGTCAAACCTATCGTGGACAACGTACCAGACTTTGGTAAATATTAGACTCCTCACAAACTTGTCGTGGTGTATAGCTCAGACAGATTTTTTAAAGGCCCATTTTATTTTAATAATAAAGTAATTAAGCCAACGTGATCAGTGGCAGTCATTGCAACCATATTTATGATCTCTTCTACCAGAAATATCCATTTGCCTGTATTAGCCCTTGTTATTTCACTGTGAAAGACTGTTAAAAAGAATCTTCAGCTTTATGAATTCACAAATTTATAATTACCCTCTAATGTTTGTGTTTTGTTCATTAAGCTGTGAGAAATGTGATTGGCGGAGTGGACAAGAATGATGCTGTGGAGTCACTGCAGTCACTTGGAGGTGTGTAAGGCTTTGAAAATATCATAAGGAGTTTTAAAAATGTTTCTAGGGATTCATACAGGACAAGTTAAACATGTTTGCAACATCTTCCCTACATTCTGCCTGTGTCCTTAGTGCTGATTGCTATCACTGCCACTCTCCCAGGCCCTCATTGGCTGAATGTGTCAGATTAGTCTAACTCTGTTCATGGTGCTGATTGGCCATCTCTGTAGGTCACCCTTGTGCTTGAATTTTCACTTTTAAGAGTGTCATATTTGAAACTTAGCAATGATTATGTTTACCTTCATAGACCTCATGTGGTGTTGAATAATATGTTGTAGCAAGTGGCTTGACAGTTGTAAGGGCTGGTCACCTTTTTAATGAAGTTGTTTAAGTAAGTGGGAATAGACAGAGCAGTAATTGTTTGTGATGTTATTTTGTGTGTTGGTTAGTCTTTACCACTGGCTCACACTATAATCAGTATCATAACTTATGTTTCCATCCACAGGTGGATCTGACAAAGATGATGATGACCGTGGGGGTGGACAGGAGAAGGATGGGGAAGAACATCATAAAGACAATGTCCAGGTATACAGAATACTTGCACACTTTCCACTGAAGAACAGCTTTTTTGTGCATCTCACTAAGACAGTCATAAAACAAGTTTGTAACATCATCATGTGCTACTTTTTATGGTTTACTTTTATGTAGACCTCTGCAGACAGAAAACATATTGTTTTTGCTCAGTTTCTTCTTCTTCAAACAAATTGGGTTACATTTTGTAGCAGGACATATTTGGAGGGGCTGGTCTCCAGATTATGAATGTGTTTGAGTAAGGATAAACAGTAGTTTGTTAGGCTGGACCATGTGAAGGTTAATATTATGCATTTACTCTGCAAATGTTACCTTGTTTCAAGGTTTTATTGTCTATTTTAATACAAGGTTGATGTACCTGCTGTGAAGGAGGGAAAAGGAAAGGATGACCAGGAAGTACAGGTTGACAAACCAGGAGAAAAGGATGAAGAAGAGGAGGAAAAGGATAAAGACAGGGAAAAACAGGGAGAGGACAAAGGCAAGTAATACCAAGCAGTGACTGATTGAGAGTTTAATGTAGCAAGACTTAGTGTAACATATAAAACGTATAAGAGAAATCAGTGACCACATGTAGGTTAGAATATGTAAAGTGTTAATGATCATCTTGCTTGTCCAGGCCGGGCTTGAAATACTTCTTCCAGGACTTGCACAGTGTCAATTTTAATTTATCAATCCTGTATAATAGTATATGCAGGTGGGATTTCAAGCCCTGGATGCTTTTTCTGCACTTTAATGCTGTGTGGCTATTCCTAATAACCTATTTTTAAAAATAAAGACAGCTGTGTTGCCAGCATTCTTGTAAAATACTATTGACTATCATATTCACAAGTAGTGGTGCATACCGGTTCACTGTACTTGGATCCGGACTTGTAAGAATGTTTAGGTTCAAGTCCAAAAAAACCTAAAAGTCAAGAACCGAGTCCGGACTTATTACCATAAAAGACCATTTCACATACCCCTTTTATTTCCAAACCACCTAAAACCTTCCATAGATTGCAAAATCTTTGCTGCAAAATGAAGAAAAAATTGCCATTGGGCATCGTCAAGTACCGGCCTCCATGTTATGTGGCCAAAATTTCACCCAGACAACATTGCAAGGTTGCCAACATGCAATTTTGTATATGCCATGGGTTTAGGTCCGAACTTACAAGTCCGGAACTGAACCTAAACCTCTGGACTTGAATCCGGACCCGAACCTAAATGTTGGTTTAGGTATGCACCACTATTCACAAGGATGCTTATGATTAGCTCTTCATTTTGTGTTTATATAAAAATTTGATCTTTGAAATTTGCAGCAGATAAGGATGACAGCAGGCTAGAACCCCCCATTCCACATGAACCAAAGGAGCCTAAGAAAGACATGGATGATGTTCAACCTGATAATGAAGACTCGAGGGTAGGTTTTCATAACATCTCCATAATGTATCAGTTCAGTAACATCTGTAGATTGGCAGATTCAAGTTTTACTGTCCTATGCTATCTAAGTAAGTACTTAAGTGATGCTTATATACATGTGTAGGAGCAGTGGGAGCAACATCACAAGGATGAGGATGAGAACAAGGATACAGATCAGGAGGGAGCTGGAAAAGACCCAGGTTTGAAATCTATGCCTACAGCTTTTGTAACCCATGCTACTTTCATGTTAGTCAATGTTTGTGAAGATAAGTTTAGATTAGAATAGATCAGGAAGTATGTTCCTTTTTTTTACACATGTGGGTGTATTTCAGCCATTCAGGTCAATAGCTCTTTATGACAAGTGTTTAAGTCAAATTCTAAGTTTATATTTGAGATGTTTCAGATGTTTCAGTAAATTTTGATTGTACACAGATGATGAGGATGAAAGAGAGCTAGAAGATTTTGAAGACAAAGAAGACGACAAAGAATCTGCCAAGAAACATGAAAAGCAAGTAGACATGGAGGAAGCACAAGATAAACATGATGTGGATGAAGAAGATAACATGAAGGAAGCAGAGGTTGCTAAAGAGTATGTCAAGAAAGAGCATGAAGACAAAGACCATGAAGACAAGGAGCAAGAAGACAAAGAACGGAAAGACGAAGACCATGAAGGCAAAGACAAGAAAGAGCACAAAGATAAAGAGCATAGAGAGAAAGAGGAAGAAGATGAGGAAGAGAAAGATGAGGTTAGTAATCTCAAGTTCACACTGTTAAGAATTGCTCATTCAATGTTCAACCATATCAAACAAGGCATATTTTCTGAAAATTGTGTGAAATCCAGAATGCTTTATTTGGAAAAATATAGAAACAAATTTATATAAATAATTTCATCAGGTTGGTGATTCTTGTATTCACAACCATTTTTGTCTAATACAAACCAACGTTTTGATGATCATCAGGGCTAACATGACTAATGGTTTACTGTGCACTGAGGCTGATACTTCTCCAATGTAGAGACTGTGTAAATGCTGTGCCTCATGCGATATGTGTTTGTGTGTTTACTCCAGGGTCAAAAGAAACAGCTGCTGGACATCATCCAGAAGCAGCAGGAACAGCAGGAGAAGCTGCTGGAGGTACAGCAGCAGCTGTTGGATGAGCTGAAGGAGCACAAGGCAAAGGACACCGTTGATGAAGACCAGCAGAGGCAGGACGGGGACCATGTCAGGGTCCCGCAACAAGCCGCCGGGGGAGTCATGCCACAACAAGCTGCCGGGGGAGTCATTCTGCAACAAGCCGCCGGGGGAGTCATGCAGCAACAAGCTGCTGGGGGAGTCGTACTACAGAAGGGTGCAGACATCCAACAGCAGGCAGGGCTCGTAGACGTGGGGTTAAACCAGCCTGTGGTAGATTTACAACAGAAGGGCATCGGGGACGTTCTGCAGCAAGGTCATGTTGTGGACATGGCACTGCAGCAACAGCTTGCAGGTGGACAGCTGCACCAGGATGTAGTTCCCAAACTCCACCAACCTGTTAATCCAGCGTTGCAACCGATAGCTCTCGGAGATTCCTTACAGCACGGTAACTTACAACAGGGGGGTCTGGGAGACCTCGGGCAGCAGCAAGGCAATGTTATGGATGGAGGAGCGAACAATCATGAAGTCATGGTGAACAATGCCGCACTGGAGGTTGCAGAACTCCATCAGGGCATCCTGGCAAATGCTGGGATGCAGCAGGAGATAGCTGATAATGTAGGAATCCAAGCGGGGCATCTGGTAGATGGGAACTTGAAGCAGGCTGCTGCCATGGATGGTATGAAAATGAATCAAGGAAAGGCGGCAGACGGACAGGTGAAGCTAGCAAAGCAGGCTGTGGACCCTCATCCAGACATTGGCGGACAGATAGACCAGGGAGTAGCTAACAACGTCAAGCTTCCTGATCAAGACATGGCAATGCAACAAAGGCTAGACGTTGACATGCACTTAAATCCAGTTGACAGCAAGAAAGTAGTTGAGAAGCAGGTCAGAGGCTTGGATCCAGACATCCATGATGCCCAAGAAGGACTTCCAGATGCAAATCCTGTACATCATAGAGTGGAGAGGGCTGTTGGTGACATGGAGATTGTCGAGGTGCCGAGAGATGGCCTGCTACCAGCTGCTGATCAACTACAGGTCCAAGGAAATCAGCAGGATTCTGTAAAAGATGCCATCAATGCAGAAGGCCACAATCTCAACAGCAATAATGATGCCAGGTTGGTCAAGAAAGAAGTCCCGGAAGAGGTTAAGGAGGCAGCAGTCAACATGAACCAGTTGAACCGGGACTTAAAGTACCACGTGCCGATCAAACCTGTGGAGGCCCTCGAGTCAAATAAGGGTCATGACGAAAGCAAAGCAAGGGAGAAAATCCTTCAGAATTTACCAGGTGAAAGTGTAGTCCATGATGAAGTTGAAGGCATGAAAGAAGAAAAGATGAAGTTCAAAGAGGTAAAAGAAGAGGGAAAAGATGAGAAATGGGATTTCAACAACTACAAAAAAGAAGAAAACCTTCCTGTCGATGGGAACAATAATGTTGACATGGTGGTTGATGCTGGCAGCCTTCAAAAAGACTTAGTGGGCCAAGCTGAGGGTCCCAACCTGGTCAACCTAGCTCAGGTTAGGGATCTCAAAGCACATCCTGATAAAAAGAATGATAACGATCATAGAAAAGAGTTCAGGAAATAGACTTCTATGGAATTTTATTTTTAGTTCTGGTGTAAAATGGTTAACTAAGCCTGGTGACCTTAAAATGGTTGTTTTACAAATGCAATGCCCAGTATTACAAATACACAATATTACTAATGAGATTTTATGACATAAAAAAGCCCTTCATCGCATTTTGATTTGCCTTCACAGGTCTAATCTCTGCATACATACACCATCATCTCTGTATCTAATGATAGCTGTCAACATGCTGTACATTTTGAATATTCATATGTACTTTTAAGCAAAGAGTGTAGCAATAGTTCTCATACATAGCCAAGACTCTGGGTAGACAATTAGTCATTAAGACAATCTCCTTACACCTTCTGTGAAGCATTTTTTAATGTCACATTCCTTGAAGATCTACAAAATATCTCTGCAAGATGTTAGAATGTAGGAAGTGTACCCGCAATATGTACATACTACAGATTTCAAGAAAGTTCTGTGGCTTAAAAGTAATTGTTGTATTGCATATCTGTTGTTAGGCTCTGCCTTACTGCACTTGTTGCCTGTGGTAAACGAATCTGTTGCAAGTGCTTTAGCCGAGAACAGTATTAGATGGAGCCCTGATACAGTTTTGTAAGATATTCATGTACAAAGCAAATGTTTTATGGGCATGTTCAAGAAAATAAGGCTTACTAGTATTATGTAAAGATAGTAACACTTTGTGCACAGGACTAAGCAAATGTAGACAACTTCTCAGCACATAAACAGGTAGAGCACCATGCATACTGCAATACTGAAAAAAGTAATAGTTTCTGATTCCACAATAATACATGTACCTTCAGAAACTTCACTGTTTACCATAACTTTTCTAAAGCTGCTCGCCACATTGCAGTCTATGAATGTTAGTTATGCCACATCCCGCACATTTATGGTAAAACATCAGCACATGTACATGTATTTTACCTTCCATGCTGTGTATATTTGACTGTACATACTGGAATGGATCGCAGTGTAACCTAAAAAATCGGTCATTTTGTTTCATACACTGACTAAGGTAATAAAGTCGTGTAGCAAATTTTGATGGCATTCTGTTAAATTTCTCATAACATTTTGCACAATTTTTATCTTAGCAAAGAATAAGTTAAAAATGAAAATTAGAGACTGGCCTCTGATCAAACATGCTGGACTGATTGCATTGTGTAAGAAGACATGGGAGCCTGTAAGTCTATGTAAGTAAAAAATAAATTGTCTATTCCAGAACTTGTCTTGCACGTCTTACAATGCAGAAGTATACATACCACTAGTGAGTACAGATTCATATCAATTTTTCAATGTACCTATTGAATATTATATTTCACTTGCACAAGGAATTTTACTAATATTGCAACTTTATTGGCAACTTCCGGCTGGCTGGGCTGATATACTAGTATTGGATGTCCCAAGAAATAAAGGACTTGTGTGAGCACTATTTTTAAATGCCCAAAGTATGAAATAGAGGGCAGTATATGTCAATATCATACAGATGGCCTCTGATACAAGACATTTCCAGTATTAACACACTAGTACTGATACTGCCTTTAAGGTTTCTGTGAGAAGAACTGGTTGTATGGGTCAGCCTGCACCACCACATGTTCCACACAGGACGTAGTCTGTTGTGTCCAACAGCTTCCAGCACAGGTATACACCAGCACTGTACCAAACTCAAGCATGGGATCTGAAATATAAAGGCACAGGTCTGTTAGTCAGGCATTCAGAGCTGCAGAATTGAAGGCTATGAGCTGTTGTGAAGCCACTTTGTGCCTCAGTTGAGGATAACAAAGCAACCAGAACTGCCTATGTTTCCAGTGTTTGGTACAAACCATTCCATGCCCAATAATCAAAGTTAACAACACAATGCCACTATTAGCCAAAAGAATATACATGTATTTGACATGCAAGCTATCAAATTTGAGTGCCAAGTCCAGAACAGAATGTTAGAGTATCAGTAAGCCAACACCACCAAAACAGACATCACAATTGCCATAATGTACATAGAAAGTCTATATTCTTTGCTTACCATTGCTGGTCACTCCTGGTGTCTTCAGAATGCTGATGATGGTTGGCATGAGTTGGAGTTCAAAAACTCTCTGTCCACCACAGTTAGCACATGGAGGTTGCACCATGTGGGCATCCTCTGGCTCCTGTATGTAAAGTGGCTTTCCACCTCTGCTGTATCTGTCAATAGAAGATTGTTATCAGATGAGCATACTTTTCTTTTCAAGGCACCCAATGCAGTATCAGTGCGTTAACACTGGAAATACTAATTTTTCTGGATCTGTATGATATTTACGATTAATAACAGTGCAGAAGCAAGCTGCACAGTAGTCATTTATATCTTGGGGCCTTCAATACATCAGCAGCATTCAGGTGAGGTCTCACCACGTAACAACATTACATGTGTACATTTTTTCTCTGTGACTGTATATACCGGAACCGTGGGATTGTGTTGTTTAAACTGACTATGTAAATAAGTGACTAGAATACTGACTTTAACACTTTGGTTTTCAAATCCTGAACCTTCATTGGGCATCTTTCAGAAGACAGGAGAAAATAGACTTCTCATAATATGTACATGTATATTAATGTATTCAAGCCATGAATTTAAAAGCTATCTCTAAAACAAGGGCAAAAGATCCAACCTAAGAATCTGTTCAGGACAGAGTGACACCCTCTTGGCAAACTTCTGAAAGACTTTGTCCCCGTGTCTTGCTGTGGTTTTCTCGTAACTCTCTCCTCCACCTCTCTTTCCTGTACTGGTGTAGAGTCATTACATGTAGATTTAGCCATAGCTGTGCTACATGTACAAGTAACAAAACTTAATGGAAAATAATGTCAAGCTGTAAAGAAATTAACAGCTGTAAAGAGATTTACTTCTCTTTATTTTTAATTCAAAGTAAGAGCCAAGAATGTTTCAATGTAAGGCACTGGTCAGTATTATGAAAATAAACATGCTAATTATCATCTACCTTCTTTTACACAAACAATACATATTCTGGATAAAAGATCTACATGTTGAACAAGACTATTTTTTAACCATTTTCCACCTACTATTTGTATGGAAAATTCTTTATAGTAGTATGTCAGGTACTAGTATACATATAGTATTAACTTCATAATCATACTAACCTTGTTCCAGAGCCCTCCATAGCTGCTAGGTCCACACCTTCCTTCTGTTGATAGTCTGTCATGAGTCTGTGTACATGATCATCATAGTCTACCATGGAGTCAGTGGGCTCCTCAAACACACTCATGTAATATGCTTCAAATACAGTCTCCACTTGTGAAGGCTCTTCTGTGTCAACATTCAAACTCAATAATTTGGATAGAGAAGAAGTTGTTATATCATCTACTGGTAGATCCTCTACCAGCACATTTTCTACTTTCTCTATGTCTACAGTTCCTTTCTCAGGATTGTCATCATGATTCAAGTCCTCTTTGTCATTAAAACCAGTCTGTTCTACAGAATCAGATATATCTAGGTTCTGAAACTGTTCCATGCAGACAGATTCACTTGTCATGTTGTCTTCCTCTTGTCTGCGATGATCTATTGTGGTAGGTGTTGCTATGGCAACAGGATCCTCTTCTTCTGCCTCATCACCCCAGTCATCTGCATCATCACACCAGTCTGTGGTTGCCATAGAAACCTGTGATACAATTATACAAATGATTTATGTATATGATATGTGTACTGTTTTAACTGAACTCTAGAAATAGACAAGATAATTGTAAGAAGCAATAACTCTATAAAATGTTTCTACATTCATAAAAATGTACATACCACCTCTGTCTCTTCCTGTTCAGAAGTATGATCTTCACATGAAACTTGAAGCCTGACAGCAAACCAACTGTGTTAACAACAACAAAAAAACACAAGAAGTGAGAATAATTAAGCTGTCGGTTTCAATTCAATCACCTACATGTACTTGAATACCTAGTTATAAGCCTCAGGCCTAGGAAACAATGTCGTGTTTCTGGTTTTCGAGTGACCCTAGTAAAAACTTGCTATCCTAGTCTTCTTTCTTCTTCTAATACAGTTGAGAATATACTGTACATCTGTACTAGCTACGATACCTTTCTGACTTATTCCAGCACTGCTTCCTACAGCAGGCAAAGAGATAGAGTGTCCTGTGATAGGGAGAGCCGTCCAGGGGACAGTACACCTGCACAACAAGGGTCAGTGTGCAGCAGCACAACGCACACACAGGCATCTCTGGGAAGGGTGGGAGGGGGGCACAGCCCTGAGGATGGACAGAATCAACATATTTTGGAAGAGTCTGAGATAGAATCAATAATGAACAGTGAATCATATCAATTTGATTTGTTAAAATGTGAACTGAAACAGAGGTAGTTCACAGCAAACGCATACTATCTTAAAACTGAATCGGTACACACTAGCAAGTATTCAAGTAGTATACACTAGTACATGTAGTACGATGGAAGTGGGGAGGGGGGCAAAATTATGACTGGAGAGTTACCCAAAAAACGACTTGGCTATTGCTTGTCAACGTGCGAAAACTGCAGAGATACGCAGAAAACGGTAAGCGTAACACATCCATACCGGTTTCCCTCCTACTCTGTTAGTATATAAGGAGGAACAGTCCCGTTCGTCACGGACTGGCTCGTCCAACACGCCTAGAAACACGGGCGCCGCCATGTTGGTTACCCAGTGTACTTTGCGACATGACAGGTGCAGCATCAAACAGGTGGCCACAGTTTGGAATTGTCCGTCGAGTCGCTTAACGTGTTTTTGTCCTCACTCTAGTCCGAAGGATTTCATCTCTCGTAAAACTGCTCTAAGTTGTAAGGATAGCGGTTTGCAAGACTACTTTTGCATCAGTATTCAATTTGCCAATTCAAAACAGTACTTCAATACTAGCAGTAGCTAGAATATCCTCATCACCGTACGGAGGTGTTGTTTTAGGTGGGCGCACTGTGGTGGGCGTGTGTTTGTGTTTGTGTTTGCTTGTGTGCCCGTAGGTACAGTATTTGAATGCAACAGAGTGGCAGAATTAAAGGAAGGGGAATAATGTGGCAGCTTTACTCGAACTTGCTTGTCACAGCAAGTTCGAGCGCTTTCGTCCTCTAAACCTGCAAGGTTTTTGTGCTAGGTCCGTTGTAGTACGCCAAACGATATCTCTTTGGTTGTGCCAATAAATTCACAGAAACTCTAGATACATGTACCTCCCGAATCTCCGATATTGCTTGAATGAAAAGACCCAACCGAATGTTTTATTCAGCCGACGCACGTTTCTTTGACCGTCTGTCACCTTCCTCGGGGCAATTCTACCGGTTCACGTTGTATACAGCACAGGTGTTGCAGCTTATATAGATGCGTTCCCAGACTGAAATATTGCTTGTTTTCCATGGTCATTGCGTGCAAGGTTATCTTGCATGAGGTTGATCAATATTTCACATTCCTGGTGGTCCGAGATTCTTCTCACCTCCGGACCTTGAGTCGTGTGTTGACTGCGGAATGATCGCGGGGTCACTTCTAACAGGCGGAGGTCGGCTGGATTAAAGACAGCGCTTCTGTTGCGGGGGAGGACGGCAGTTCTCTTCACACAGAGAAGGGGAGTGGGCGATGAGGGGCACGGGGGGATTTTACTACATCGTTTAGTTGACACAATTTCTGCCGCGGAGTAATAAAATTTGTTTTCAAATATGTCAGTGTGAAGCATGGAAGCAATGCTGGAACATGTTAGTAATACTGTGGTTGTCCGTACTATCTAAACAAAACGGATGAGCAGACTGGAGTTCTTGATTGGACAAGAGGATAATCAAATATTTGCGGACCTGTTGATAGTGCGTATCATTTCGTGTGTATCATACGAGTATATGCTTTGAACCCTGGACTGCCATGATAAGTTGCTGGAGTCTCCAAATCAAAACCATGTATTCGTATGGAGTTCTAGTAATTCAGGGAGTCGAAAGAATATGTACATATTTCTATACACTACACATTGTAGATGAAAAAGCAACGAAAATATATGTGTACAAAGTATGATGTCTCTACATTTTAAGCGTTTCTATAAAAGACATATGTATAATATTTACACGTACTTGAAGTACTATATTCCCCATTGTAGTTGAAAAGCAACTTGAATGTTACATACGTATATGCACGTGTGCAATATGTATGGTGTTATATATTCAACATTTCAAGCTTTTCTGTACAAGGCATGCATAATCTTAAGATGTACATATAAATTGAAATGTTTCCTTTTAACCGCCACAATACAGAAATCTAACGGAGTGCCCCCTAGAGCTTACACTGTGCACATGTCACGGGTGTGCACACGGGAGATAATGCACAGTGTCGCGCTGACGCAAATGGCAGCCATTTTCACCCGCAGGAGCAGGCCTTTCAGCTCGGAATCTCTTTTTAGATTCCGGGCCACTTTAGAACAAACCACGTCTACAAACCCCTAGAGGACTCAGCATATGGCGAATTAGGGCAATGACTTGCGCATTGATGTGATTTCAAAGGAAGATGGCGTGTCTCTTACGTTGCGTAAGCCGTACATATCTTTCCCCAGGAATCTCTACATTTCTTCTGTTTAAGACTTCTAAAACTCAAGTCACCGCGGTCATTTCCATATTTTAATCAGTCATGTTATAACATTCCAATTGGAGGCTTTAAAAATGTAAGGCCTTGTGATTTGATTATACGGATGGCATCCAGGAACCCCAAAACTGATGCGAGCGTTCGAATAACAAACGTTTGGCAAAAAAAGTCGCATTCATTATGACATATACCTGGCCAGGAAGGTTTTATCCTGAGTGCCATTCGATCTGTAACGGCAACCCCGAGTTAAGAGACAAATCACGCGATCGTTACAAATCGGAATAAACATAGAGTATGGCAGGCCTGGAGTATGGTATGGTGAATAATAAGCTTCATTTTCATTTCTTCACATTTTATTCTTTTCCCTTGTAATTAATTTGGCATTCTACGTTTAATTTTTCCAATATTTTTAATATACAAGCAGCCCCACTTTTCAAATCCCACCTTGTGTAACAATTTCATTTTCCTTCATAGGGCAATAATTTCCTGGCAGTAATTGCCTCTCGAGAGGAAACAAAAAGCTTCTGTAGGTTTTCGAAGATTGTATAGTCTGTTGCCGAACGGGGCTTGCGTCAGCTTCCCATTTCAGTAGCACAAGGAGCACAGGGGACTGACTCTCGGCTTTCAGAAGACATTTCAAAGGCCAATTGCCTAGCTCTACATGGTAAGGTTGAGATGAAGCGGTCTTTGAGGAGAACGTAGAGTCTTATCTTGGATTCCAGACGGCTGAGCTGCAACAACGATTTTATCAGCAGGTTTGACTCATTTTTAAAGTTTTGTCCGTTCTCCAGCGCTATATATAGGGAAATCTCGCACAATTACACAATGAGCACAACGTGAATATGCAGTATGTCAGCATTTATGGGCGAATCAAGTTTTTTGCCTACATGTAAGGAGGTTTTGCTTTCGGTGTACTTGTTCATTTGTTTGCTTGTGTGTCGGTAGATATTTGAATACATTAGAGTGGCAGAAAGTGTGGGGGGGAATGATGTAACCGCAGACTGACAGGAAGGTCGAATTGGAAGTCAAAATACTCTCTCCGCAGACTGGGAGGAAGTGGTTCAAAGTAACGCCATTTTAGTTCTGTCGTCAGTTTTCTGCTATAACCATGTCTGTGGCATTATGGAAACCAGTGTGTGAAAATGTATATACAACATTAGCGAAAAACTGACAACAACGCTAAATACATCACTTAGGTGTAAATCTTCAATTTTTTTCATTGTTGTCAAGTTGGAAGACCTCTTTGATTTTCCATCGTTTCAACCGTGGTAGTGACAAACTATTTATGTTTTGTATGTGTATTGTACGAGTAGAAAAGAAATGACCGGAATCTTAGTAGGTCATCTCTTGTCTAGCTCTCTATTCTGTGCTATTATGATTGTGGTGTTCACTACACATGGCTGATCGCTTGTTGTACCATGTAAATTCTTCGCTGTGTCAACATCATGTCCTTTATCGTCTAGCTAGGGTTGGGGACCACCCGTAAATCCATTGTGCAACGTAATATACAGACTGCGCAAAGTAACTATATCATTTGGGTGAAAATTGTGGAAATCTTTCAAATAAAGCAGAAAAAAATGTAAATTCGAGCAAAGTGTCCTCAAAAGCCTGCGAAACTCGCACAAGCTCCTATCTCGAAGAAAATGTTGGGGTGGAAGATCGTAACGTTTCCCGGTTTCTGAGAGCCTTTCTCACCATGAAATATGAGAAGTGTCCCTCCACGTGTCCAGCGTCTGCCGAAGTTAGTTTGAGTGACTGCCAGAGAAGCATAGCCTCTAATACTAGTAGGCTTCGGGAACCGTTTGCCGTTCTGGCCAGAGATAAACATTGTGATCTTCCACGTCACCACAACAGTAGCTTGGAGATTTCCCGGCACTATGCACCGTCCCCATGTTTGAGAATGGAAGCGAGCAAATTGCGCTATTCAACATCATCCCTATTCAATCCCTATTGATTGTCTCCTAGGTATGGCGTGTCGGCAATGACATGCTTTTCTCCTCCATGCATCCAGCATATGTTCAACACCGCACACGTAGAAACCTGCAGCGTTTAACGTAGCGTTTAAAAAGGGTAGAATTGCTATTGAAAAGTATGTGATTCCTTAACTGTATATGAATTGTCACCAAACACCTTTATGGCTTGTAAGAGATAACTTTGGTTTGTGTCAACAGTACACATCCATATATGGTAATTACCACTACTTATCATAGGCCGATTGCTCTGGTATTATACTCTACGACGTACTGAGTTGAAAGGTCGAGATGTCCATGAGCCATTAAGGGCTGTTCCATTAAACACATTCAGGGGTTGTCCGTTATGTTTCCGAGGACTGAAAAATGGTTGGGGCATTTTTGAAATGGAAAGGATATAGAGGCTTTGTCGTAATATGCTATCTAAGAAAAGGAACATGTGTCCTGAGCGCTTTTCATTTTCCCCGTTTGGATATTTCAGAAATGGACGGTCCCTTGTAAGAGGCAAGGTATACAGAGCTCTGGGCGGAAGTGCACCGTTAGTACTCACTGCATCTCTGTATGTATATCTCTGTATGTATATGTATACACAGCCGCTGACAACCATGAGTACACAATCATGAATTTCCAGGTAGAGTACTCACGGTGTGAACACCGTCTGCTGCTGTAGCCGAGTCCGAGCCAGATTTTCCCCGCCTTCAAAGCGCCATGGAGGAGGAGAATGGAGAATCTGAATCCACCTATGGAGCCACGACGGTCTCGTACGGACATATGCCGGAGGTGGAGGCGTCGTCCCTCGGCTCTACCTTCGACATCCCCGAGCTGCATTTCCGAGTTCCCCGGGACAAGTACCACCTGGTCTACTTGGCGCTGCTGCTGGCCGGGGTACGTTAGTGCTAACCTGTGATGTGTGACATTTTTACAGCATGGATACGGTTCCTTTATATACACAGAACCTGTTGATAAGGATTAGTGAAACACTACTCACCAAGCAGAGGTTTAGGCTTCGGCTTATTTTTGGCTTGGTATTAGGCGTTTTTGTTGGGCGTTCTTTTTTGTCCTGGTATCTTATTTTTGTGGCCAGACTGGCCCTGGCAAATATATAGATACTGTCTGGTTAATGGATACTGCCTGGCTAATGGATACAGTCTGGCAAATGGATACTGCCTGGCCAATTTGATACTGTCTTGGCAGCCACCGAAAAATCTGCTTGGAGATACGCGAAGCATTCATTCACTCACTCACTAGAGTGTGTTTAGCTTTCGGCAGCTGACCATCAATTTCTTTGTGCGCTTACATTTGTGTACGTATCTATAAATACAAATCCATTGTCACCCATCAATACACGAGGACACATATTGCATTCGTCATTTTAGCGTGTACTGGACATTCATATGTTAGAGATTCAGTGTATGAATTAATGTCAGTAGATATTGTGGGGGTTGGTTTCTTCATCGATACTCGTAAATACATGTATGAGGCTAGCCGAAATTGGGATCAACAAGCCTATATGTTTGTGATTATCATCCAGTAAAACAACGTACGGCATCTACTACTATATAACAAACATTCTATCTTACAAAAAACTATGGAATATGGGATGAAAATGCTTTTACAATCATTTGTGGAATTTCTGGCGTCTAGAGACTTTAAAAATATTGTCTTCACTGTTAACTTTATTGTCCTTAATGTACATTGGTTAGAATAATGTGCAGTTCATACAATTTAACGATATGCTGTTTACACATTCTGGTTTATTCTAGGTTGGGTTTCTGCTGCCCTATAACTCCTTCATCACCGATGTGGACTACCTCCATGCCAGATACCCCGGGACCAGCATAGTCTTCGATATGAGCCTTACCTACATATTAGTGGCGTTTGGAGCTGTTTTGGTGAGCACTGGGCCCTTCCTCTCACCCTTGAACATCAGGTTTTAATCTTAAAGTAGATAACGGGGTCAAAACAGAAGCTAACTCATAACTTCAAATTCTTGTACACATCACACGAGAAGTTCCTGTAGTCGTTCTCACGCTAATGCATGTCCAAGCAAAGGTCTAGTTTAAGCAAAGGTATCTTGTTTCACGTCTTTTTATCGGACTTTCTTTTTTGTATCGGTATCTTGTTTTCACCACTGAGCCAAACGGTAGCTTGTTGGATACTTCCTTGCCACCTAATTACAGTCTTCTCAATTTGATACTGTCTTCTCAATTTGATAGTGTCTTTCCAATCTGATACTGTCTTCTTAATTTGATACTGTCTTCTCAATTTGATACTGTTCTCCCAATTTGATGCTGTCTGCCCAGTCTGATACTTACTGTCTTCCCAATTTGATACTGTCTTCCCGATTTGACACTGTCTTCCGAATCTGATAGTGTCTTCCCAATCTGATCCTGGTTTTCTGTCTTTGATACTGTCTTGTAGCCACCAAAAGATCTACTTAGAGATTACACCACTGCGTCTTTCCCCCAGATAAACAACAGTCTGATAGAGACGTTCGGTATCCACACCCGCATCACGCTGGGGTACGGCCTCGCCTTCTCCAGTCTGGTCTTCATCGCCATCTTGGACATCTGGTTAGAGGTGTTCGACAAGGACACGTCTTACGTCATGAACCTCCTGGCTGTGTCGGTGGTTGCTTTTGGTTGTACCGGTAAGATATGTCTTGTATTCTTTGATCTTATCCACAAAGTGCTCATAGACTAAAAACAAACAAATTCTGGCACAATAATTTGTGTAGATGCTTAGTTTCTTTGCTGTGATGTCTTGGTGCGGCAACTTAAAGATCTCATGAAATGAAATTGAAAAGTTGTTATTTTGAATGATTTTCTGACGATTCAATAAGTTATTTGTCTTGGGATTACAATGGGATATTTTTGGTATGATACTTCAACCGGGAAGGTTTGTTAAAGCAGACTTAAAAACGTGCAATTTTAGCCTTCCAAGTGCGAATGCAAATGAGATGCAAGTATGAAAGTATAGAAAAAATTTTGTTTCTGAACGCGCCATACTACCAAGTAAGCTGGCTGTATTTCTTCAATCGGATGTTAAGCCCCGCGAAAATCTCCGGGGACTTAACTGGTTAAAATTCTACTTTCATCCGATGACATGTAGTGTTGAGTGGCAAAAGCAAAGAGGAAAGACAGTCACCTGCCGCTATCTAAAATGATAAAACAGTATCGACGAATAAAACGTGTGAATATATTTTAGATTTTTATAATATTCCGTGCAATCTGATACCTTCATATGTTATAAATACCATGGATATAAGAATAGTCAACGCGTCTCCATGCTTTTTTTGTTTTAATATTGTGATTCAGCAGTCAAATTGTGCCAAGGACAGCATTGAAAAAATACCTGCTAAAAAAAGAAGAGGACTTACACAATCTATATATACTGACGTGCCGTGAATGGGAAATTATTCCCCTCGATCATCTATCGTTTGATATTCCGGAGAGATACAGGAAAATAGACAATCAATTTTTCCCCCGGGTTGATGGAGGAAGCTGCCGTAATTGGACATCCAAATCTAATTAGGACAGAGCCCCGGAAGGATTTCCAATCGCGTCTTAAACATCACAGAATCCGTCTTCCTGCTATGTTACCAGTTTGCTACGAGAAGCTGCTATCCACGGCATATATCACGGTCGCGACTAGAAAACGTTAGCAAAAAAAGTCGTTTTCTAACCTGTAACAACTGTTGGTGATACAAGCAAGCTGATTGGCTGATTGGCTTGATTGCCTTAAATCAACAGAGATAAGTATAATGCCCCTACCAATTTGTTTCTAGGCTGTGATTTAGTACCCCCTTTCATTGGATAATTTTGCCGTACATCTTTTCATCAGACATATGGTATAAAAACGGTATGTATGACTGGCAACAACATAAGCAAATCAGTATCTTTGTAGAAAAATATAAATAGTTCTTTTAACATTTTCTTCTAGTTGCGTTTAGTTGCCCTTTCATTCAAATAATACTCCTCAGGCTTGCTTTAAAAATGCTTTGATCGTTGCTTTTCCCGCGAGTAACTACAGACGTGACTAAGCAGGCCAATGAGATAGTTACAACTTACTATTTTAGGATTATACGTTTACGAAATAGTGGATTTGAAAGTACAATGCACATTTTACATTTTTGTGAGTTGAAATGTGACTATTTAGCCATCTAAGGATGTTCTGATGTGGTCAATACAATATTCTGATTTGGGTGGTACAACATTGACGATATATGTCATAGTTAGATTCTATTAGCACTTAAATTTCTCATTGGTTTTATATATGCAATGACAAGTCTTAGAATTGCTGGAAGCCGAGCTCCTACATGTAGTCTAAAATGATCTAATTATTTGACTGTCAGACAAAAATACGTAGGAAATCATGAGACAGATAATTCTGAACGTTTGCAACCTTCCCCTCTGAAACCACCAATTAACCAAGCACAGAGCGTAGATCATTTTATCATTACGGATCATTTCATCAATTCTATGTGCGCCGCAAATATAATCATGTTATTACAAAGAATTACAGGAACAAAAGATTAAAAGGACTGAATTAACGAGCGCATATCAGACATATAGCCATTAGGCCACACGCAATTTGATTTCTTGGAGTTTCGTACAAAATTGAATAAAATACAACATAAAAAGGCATCTTGTGACAGAGCCAAATGCTACCAGGCTTGTAAATGTAACAACTAAACGACAGTTCAACCGTTGATGACAGAATTTATAGTTAATTTATATCATGGATGGTACAAGCGATCATTTATTTTTCAAATCATAATATTCAGACCAAGGAATCGGGTTGGTTTGGCCTTACTTAATTGTCTTCTACGGCACTGAGTGCATATTCCTTTCTATTGATCTGTTCTGTGTGCCCTTTCCCCACTTGACTCTCCGTGAGAAATACCAGATGTGGATGTCAGCCTGGTATTTACAAATACACACATGGTACAAAGACGCAAGATAACCATCTTGTCCGCACACCAATACTGTACATCTTTCAGTTGAGAAATGTGAATAGCTTATCGTGTAAAATATCGTATCTAGAACATTCCATATGTTTTTATATGTTGCATCACACGTGCAGTACAACAGTCCAGCTTCTATGGATACACCAGTATGCTGCCCCCACGGTACACACAGGCCGCCATGACGGGAGAAAGTAAGTGTGAACATGTGAACCATCTCATTATTTGAAGAAGTTTGATTCTTTCGATCAACACCAGAAAAGATAGCTCACCTCGAATTTTCAATCGCTCTTGAGTCGACCTTCTTCAGGTTTGATGATTCAATTACTCCTGAAGAAGAGCAACTGAAAATTCGAGGTGAGCTATCTTTGCTGGTATTGATCGAAAGCATCAAAATTCATCATGGTATATACTAACACAGATGAGTTTTAAGAAGGCTATGGTTTTGGTTATGTTGGTTTGTTTGGATGTATGTGTCTTAGCACGATAACTCAGAATCTATGGATGGATTGTTGTGGTGCAATGTATGTTGGGCTTGACATATGGATGAAACTATGTTGTGTACCATTCGAGTAAGGTTATCAACACCTGCACACACTATCAGAAACAGGTTACTGCCGTTTTGCTCATGGTTTTCTTAGAGTAGCTACACAATAATCTAGCGTACAGCAGTACGGATTGGTTTTAAATTTATTTCAGCGTCATATAGCCAGCAAACGCTATGTGTGGCAGCACCCCTCTATTTTCCTGACAAGAAACCTCTGACGATTTTGATGCCTTTTGACACTTATGTATTCCCTCCTCTACCGCCGGCGCCAGGGGCTTTTATGTATCATACCAACACATTGTCGTTCCACGTGATGAAACATGTATTCTATCTAGCTACGAAGAACACGAATATTCTTGCTTCAGTAGAGACACGGGCTAAATATATATATGGTACATATGTAGTTTCACATCAGGCCCTTTAGTGTACATAATTTACAGCCTTATGAAATGTAGATTAAAACGTGGGAAACTTTATAGATATGGCCGATGCTTGTACATGTAGTGTGAAACTCAAAAGATTTTACATGTATGATTCAAACATTTCTTTTTCCCCGTTTTTCTTTGATACAATTTGCCTTCTACAGATTTCCGAGAAATCTTGATTATATATATTTTTCGTGTGGCTTCCTGCACACAATGAAAGGCCCAGCTGCTGGTAGATCAAGGAAGGAGATGTAGAATTGCATTTCAAATAAATCATCAAAGAACGTCCACTCACTTTGATGTGTGAGATAGTCGTCTCCACTGCCTACCCAAGTCTTTCATCCATTTCAAACCGCGGAAATAAGATCATAATTGGTTCAACAGCAGGCACCATGATTGGCCTGAATATCGTGCTATTTCTGAAGCATGATGATTCACGCTGCCAGCGGTCGTCATATTATCCGTAACCACGACACAATTTGTAAATATTACTGGTGCAGGTTATTTTTATTCCAAACTACTTTTCGTGACCGCAGTAACATTTGCAAGTGTTATTGACTTAAGAACGTGTTTTTTAAATCCTCAACTAGAAAGATAAGTTCTACACGTATCGACGCTATCTGAAAGCCGTAACACTCTGGTCTCGCGGAATCTCGCGGTACTCTCTGGCGGTTCAACTTTAACATTGAGCATGCACAGATGTAACTGTGAACCTCCTTACTTGCTATGCTGTTATTTAACCGCTGTAATCAACATTGGTGTCATTTCTTCCCCAGGTGCAGCTGGCTTACTGGTGTCCATAAACAGAATCGTGACCAAGGCTCTTGTTCAGGACAAGCGGGCCAACACTGTCATCTTCTTCTGCCTCTCCATCTTCTTCGTGGCCGCCTGCTTCATCTCTCACCAGCTGGTCAAGAGGTCAAAGTTCGTGCGACACCACCTGGCGGCCTGCGTCAGCGCCAGAAGCCCAGACGGAGTAGACGGCGCCTTTGGGGAAGTAAGATTAGTAAGACAGCATTTTCCTATCATTAGTTCTTCATTAGCAGGTAGGGCCATGTCAAAGCATTGAGTCTTCTTCTTCTCCAGTACACATAAGGTCAATGATCTGGACCAGACGTCTGTCACCATGGTAACTGGTGCTGTAGCTGTAGACACCTGTCAACTTTCTAGTCCCTGTATTTCGTTATAATAATAATAACTATGTAATGATAATGATACGGTTGATGAGTAGATACGAATTGTTCGCTGACACAATGTACATTGACAGCGCAATGCCTTTGTTTGAATCATACCCTTTATTCAGGAAATCCTGGACTCAGAACCGAAGGAAGCCTTAACGGAATCTCCGGGCACGGCCAGTGACGATGGCCAGGCGGAAGTGGAGGGGTCCCGACAGAAGTCCCTGCGGGTCCGGTTGAAGCAGGCCAGGAGTATCAAACGTGAGCGAGCATTTCAATGTCTACTGTGTCATTCTTCTAGTTAGTTACCATTGCTGCAAGGCCAACGAAGATCAAAGCCTATCGAAGATTTATCGTCGGTGGAAAGCGGAATCATTCCCTTCAATGATAAAGCGAATATTGTGTTTTTTCAATGCATCAAAGTATGACCAAACCGCCTAGTAAATGCTTATAATCCTATAATTAGCTAGGTACAGCTGGATTATGCGGAGGTCCGGAGATCATTCTTACCAGATTCCATGAGAGCTCTACTCGCTCATTTGTAACCACAAATCATGCTTTGAAGACAGCTATAAGAACTACAGAAATGATAAAAATGCTGAGTAAGCTCTCGCCTCTTGGCAATATCTTGATTCCAGATGATCAGGAATAAGGTTAGCCTGGGTGTCATTCGATTTGCTACTTGCCCCTTGTACTCTTTGGCCAGTGTAGGAAGTAAGAGGCCCGAAACAAAATCAAATGGCACCCTGGCTACAACAGCGTATTCCAGATGTAACGTTCTACATTATGTACCACACAGGAGGACTGCTAGTTAGGTGGCAGGTTGCCAAACAGATCTGGACGTACATGCTGGCCATCGGAAGTGCGTACTTCATCACCCTCTGCCTGTTTCCGGGAATAGAGTCAGAGGTCACGAACTGCACCCTGGGAGACTGGATGCCCATCGTACTCATGGCCATTTTCAACCTGTTCGACTTCATCGGCAAGGTAGTCTTTTTCTGAAGATGCTTAGAATACCTGAAGTTTTTAGAGATCATTTAGATCGTTAGACCCGGAATTCATGCAAATATAATTGTGATGAAAAATAAAACACTACATAATGAAATAATGTCCTAAGCCTTATTGGCTGAAGCAAACATCTCAGATCACCTCATGATGTCATCATCAGTTGGCACAAGACACACACCGCGAGATGCAATGTGTCTTATCCACAGCATTTTGATACATTTATTACAAAATCTATTATATAATCATAACCTGAAAATGGTGATTTTTCTCCGACTACATAGATAACTGCAGCAGCTCCTGTAGAATGGGAAGGAGGCTGGCTGGCCCTCGCCAGTTCCATCCGGGTCCTGCTGGTCCCCCTGATGATGATGTGCGCCGCCCCGCGGGATTCGCCCATCCTGCAGGGACCCGGTTGGTCCATGTTCATCTCCATGCTGCTGGGGCTGACCAATGGCTACTTCGGAAGCGTCCCAATGATTCTAGCTCCTCGAGAGGTGGAAGACGAGCAGAAAGAGATCACAGGTGGGGGGAATGATTTGATGTTGTGCCTATACCTATACCTATCATTCGTTATCATAATTGTCTTCTTCCTGGGTGTTACTAGTATTTGGAAAAAAAACCTACAGGTTTCATCTCTCTACACTTAGTATCTAAGGAATACATGAATAGGTATCACTCAATCGTGTCACGCACGGAGACACTTTTATTCACGTTTGTTTAATTTTTTCCTTCCAAGGTAACATCATGATGCTGTCGTACAGTCTGGGCTTGACCGCCGGGTCCGGACTGGCCTATGGTCTGAAGGCCATCCTGGGGCCTGAGCTGACGTACGATCCTTGTACTGCTGCAAACACAACCTTCCACAACTCCACCATACTACTCTAGTTTTCTCGGTTGATGTTGTTTGTATGATCTACAGTCAAACTCGTACTCTTCACAAGACTATCTGGACATGGTGACCACAGTTTTGTGGTCCCCTACTTAGATATTTTGACTCAAGCATCAAATCCTGTCTATAGTGTCTTCTTGGGTAATTTTGACTGTATTTATGTACGTATGTAATATACCTTATATATCTAATATGCCTTAAGAGCCATGCTGGCTCAGAAGAGGATTAAGTAAATAATTATGTATGTATGTATGTAATATTATGTTCATTACAACAACAACTATATTCATAAGACATCATCATCCCTTCCAAGGCTTCGTACGTTAAAATTGACATTATATTTTATTAATTGGCAAAGTCAAGTTGTTTGCGCGTATCTTTTCAGGTGCATGTATAAGTTTTCTCTAACATATGTACCTCGTTGTAATGTCAGTGGATGGACGTCAGACCTAAACAATGGTCTTTGTAGACATCCTTATATTCAGTGTCAGGTAAAATAGTGTCAACGTTTCTGTGTAACTGTTAACGATTTCAATTCTACATGATCTTTGTAGATAAACACTTCGTCATTAAGTATACTGATAATAATAGACTTTGTAAAAGCATTCTCTTTGGAACAGTGCGTTTTGATATTGTTGCGGTATCCTAGTGTTGAAATAAAGACTTGTCTATATTCATGTTGTACAATCCACGTGATGTCTTAACTGCTCTGAAAAACATACTAGTTTCGCTAGTTTCACCTACTTATGCGTTACCTTAGATTTTGGTATAGGTAGAAAGCGACCAGTTAACAGATATAGAAATAGGATTGATGCTTGCACTTTAATGTTTTACTCTAACTCTATCGACGCCTTTTTGTACATTTTGGCCACACTGGTTAAGCATAAGTCGCCTGCAACAAGACATGTTTAAAGTCAATAAATATAAGGTACACTAGCAAACATTAAATAAATTCAACCCGCACTTAGTTATAGCAGAAAAAAAGGAACAGGAAAGTTTTGCAATGAAAAGTTCGTCTAGCTGCACTAGAAATATTTGTAGATTTATGTTATTATAGATTTTATGCAGATTTCAAAATCTATTTAATCCATATGATCTTAGCTTATTTTTTGCCATTATTAGCTGACCAAAAGAGTTAACAATACGAACGTATTAGTGTGATGTGAAATTGGAAAACTAAAAAGGTATCAAATTTAACAGCTAAATGCGAGGACAAAACTCTAGATCTATTCTGATAAATTGTTACCCTAGATCTTTGTGCCAGATATATTCTATATTCCACTTCTGGAGGCTACTAAGATCACAAGGCATCATGGTTACATTCCCAGCAGCCCCTGCGTCAGCTGGGACGGCGTGCAAGCATTTCTTTGAGGCAGCATTGTACAGGAAACCTCCCTGTATATAGATCAGAAAAAAAAATTAAACAAAGAATTATATCAAATTATTGATGTTATACACTGCGCATTGGCCACGTTACAAGTGTGAGATAATCATAGATAACCATTCAAATATTACTGAATTACGTTGCTGAAGAGGCTGTCCTAGATCCTTGTTGGCGGTTGGCAAGGAAAATTCTACAGCCTCAAAATCATACGATGACGTACGGTGATTGTGACCATGCCGTAAGAGATATGCACATTCCGGATGTGTTGCAGGTCCTGCGAGTTTGCAAGGCGACGAGCTGCTCAGGCACCACACGTGGTACACCCGACGTCTTTCTCGGGACCCCCATTTCAGCACCAAGGACATCGCAAGACCCCGGCCCTTACCTGCGTGAACTCCCACTGCTGGAGCGGTGGCAGGTCTCCCTCTGATCGGTATCTCCCGCACGGCATCAGCACCACGCCCGTACCGTTCTCACCCGCCTGCACACACGCCCGCTCATCCCGCAGCAGCTTCTGACCTGTCAGATCGAAAAACTGCGGACGGAAATGGCAGGCTGAAACCAACTCTCCGTTCTCTAATTGTATTAAATCTCCATTTAGAATTCTCAGTTAACTTATCGCAGCAAAACACTTGTATATAAATCTGTAAAAGACGAGGATAGCCGAGAACAGCCTATTGCTGTGTTTTACTGTGTATGGCATCACTGAAAACTGAAATAGAAATATATCTTGTATACAGAACTAATCAGTTATTTCATTCCCAATCACTGATGAATGATAGCAGACTACATCTGAAACGTCTGACATGTCAGATAATCCATACTGTCGCTTAATTTATTTTGTACTACGTAAACGTACAAAACTATTGGTTGCCACAACGCCACAAGAGGCGCATGGTACAAACCTGCGTGTTCAGCCCGTGATGACAGGGAAACATCTTCAGCTCCCGGTTGAGTCGAGAAGCCCAGTCCAGGCACGTGTCTGTTCCGTTATTTCGAACCTATGCATAACGCAGACAGTCAGATGTTTTTGTTTATCAGAAAACCATTGCGGTAGCTCTATACGAACTGGCACTGAAGAAGGGAGATACTATTACTAGAGTCCATGTGTGGGAGGGGTGTGGGACCAAGATCTTGTAACGTATCAATCATGGAAGTTTATGGTAGCAATCATAGTACGATGCTGAACTTTATTCCAGCACAAGAGTAGACAAGGATCAAACTTAATTTCCAACGACCACTGACGTCTTCTTTTGGATACGTAGTGACCAAACACCAAAACGTAAATCTTGTAACATATACCATACAAGTGATAGCTTTTTAGCTAATTTTTGTTTTGGACACTTGCGTCACCGTACGTTACCACCCACCTGCCCGTATTGCCCAGGTATCGCGTCAGGTATGTACAGGTCAGGGAAGGCGTGGTCCAGGTACCACCGGAAATCATGACACTGGAGACGCTCCCGCAATAGTCTGCGCTCGGAAACGTCACCAAACTCTCTCTGTATGAACATACATTTCTTCAGTAATATTATGGACATACGTGTGGTTCTAACATAATCAGTCCTCGTTACATGCACAAGGTCCCTATTTCACTACACGCCGCTGAGCGACCAAAGTTGGATTTGTATGATAATTTGCTTTATAATTTGAATACAAATCATGACGCAAAAGTACGATTTAAAAGGGACCAAAACACGAAAAATGTTTTTAAAAAGATGGCATTATTTCAATTTATCGAGCAATATGTCAAATATTTGGTCACCCTCTGGTCGAGGCCTCTGGTGGAAAGTAGTGTAAAATAATACATGGCCTCAATTCATTGTGCAAAAATATTCACTATGTGATCAGAACAAGTTTCACTCAAAGTGCACTATAGAAGGTTGAAGGTAAAGTGATTGTGTTACCTTCATCAGATTTGGGTGTCTGATGTAGAAGTGTACTTTGTAGTGGTCCATCCAGACTTCCGCTACCCGCATGTTGTTCCTCTGTGCCCAGTGATGTAGCGTCATGTTTCCGGTGCTGTAAGTCTTCTTCCCCCACACGTGACCCACGCGAGAACACGGGAGAACTTCTATTGACCCTCCACACATCCACGCCTGGAAACCACATCACGATAGGGTCAGGCCATTTAACGCAGATTTCAAGTTGAAGAATACGTTTTCACACAAATAGTGAGGGAGGCGAAATAGGCTATTTATATCAGGGCCCATATCCCATCACTCAACCGCGACGGGGGCCGACATCGTTTACTACTAACCCTTGACCCGGTGTTGACGTCACACTTAAGAGCAGCCACGTAACAAGAATCAGAGTGACTGATGGAAAGCTCTTGTTTTGGAACAAATTTTCAACATGTAATTACCAACACAGATTTCGAAGTTTCATGATTGTTTCCACACAGTTACTGTTCGACGGGCTACGAAAGCTAGATAATAAAAAAGGAACTGAAAATATGAAGAGGATTATGATCATAACTATTGTCTATTCATACATTTGCTGTATATTGCCATATGTCCGCTTCCTGATAGAGACAATGGTCTCTGTTGCGCGAAGTACATTATACATGTCCCTAGTGCTGAAACGCCATCCGACCCGAATTGTAGTAATAACGATTAGAAACTGTTTTCATTGACATCCAACAGTTCTCACTGTATTCACAAATGTTGCATTGGAAGACCAGACACAATAGTAATATGTACCTTGAATGAGATCTCGAAGTGCTCTCCTCCCCAGTATTCAAACCCGGGATCATACATCCCTATCTCCCTGAAGAACTGTCGGTCAATGGCGAAAAGTCCTCCTAGCAGCATCGGCGTCCTAGTAAAAAATCAGGGATTCATGAATAAACATCCCACGGAACTGTAAATAAAACACAACAATCATATAGAATGGTGTATTTCATAGAACGCCATCGGTTGAACACTGTTGCATTACCAATTTGAACGTTTTTTCACATACTAAAACCATATTACAGTAACTTCACGCACTTGCTCATGCACGAAGTGCACATGTATACAATACAATAAGGTAAGAGAATTTCCCTCTTGTTTTATGGTATGTTTACTGACCTGACGGGTTTGACCTGCTCCTCCGCGGGGAGTTCCACCCACTTCAGCGCATGCTCATGGTCGAACCCGAAACCGAGGCTCCAGCCCCACGTGACCCGGAGAGTGTCGATACCGTAGTCGTACCTAAATGTGTCACCATGGATCCAGTCTATTCCCGGAGAAACCACTGAAAATATGAAATATGCATATATGATAAGTGATTATAATGAATATGAAATATAAAAGAAATATTTTTGTCAATTTTCTGTTCTACACTGTCCAGGCAGCTGAAATCATTGGAAGCTAGACTAACATTATTAGGCACAGAACAGAAGAGAAGCGGACCGGAAAAAAAAGAACTGCGACAGACCTGAGTCAGCTTACAAATGTGGCAGAGACTGTCATTCTTGTAGCAGGACTGTTCAGGCATTGCCGAATCTGTAGGGCTGTTAACAATGATTTTATTATGGTCGATAGGAGGCCATATATACTAGTATTCATATACTTCTCATTAGACGATATCACTCGCCTGTTTTCCTGTCTCTAGCTATCCTGTCCACCAGGGGTTCCAGCCAGCCGGTGTTACACTCCACGTGAGAGTCCAGGAACACCAGCACGTCTCCTGACGCCACCCCGGCTGCCCGGATCCGGGACCGCGCCAGCCCCTCCCGCTGCCTGTTCCGCAGCAGACGGATCCGCGGGAGCTGCGAAATGTAGTCCTCTAGATCACCCTTCAGATCGTCTAAGAAAAAATTGATAATGGTTCAAGAGAAAAAAAACATGAGGTGAAACGAGAGGGCACGTGTGTATAGCCTGCAGTACAGCCTTGTTAGCTGTAGTCTGCTCCCCAAGATCATGGGGAGCGGGCTAACATGTGCATGGGGAGCGGGCTAACATGTGCATGGGGAGCGGGCTAACATGTGCATGGGGAGCGGGCTAACATGTGCATGGGGAGCGGGCTAACATGTGCATGGGGAGCGGGCTAACATGTGCATGGGGAGCGGGCTAACATGTGCATGGGGAGCGGACTAACATGTGCATGGGGAGCGGGCTAACATGTGCATGGGGAGCGGGCTAACATGTGCATGAGGAGCGGGCTAACATGTGCATGAGGAGCGGGCTAACATGTGCATGGGGAGCTCAGCCACGTTTGAGATAGAATTCTTCTTGCCGCAACGCCACCATGCAAAAAGAAGTAGCATTTCACCCTGATGAGGTCAGATGCAATGCCAGTGAAAAAAATGATTGTGATTGTCCTGAAATGAGTTGACTTGAAAAAAATAAAACACAAACAAAACTTGGCCACATCAAAGGTGATGATTATTCATAATATACAGTCATGGTTTCATACACAAGTATTCTAGTAGTTATCATAAGTACAAAATTATGTACCGTTATTGCTGAAGTCGTCCACCAGCAGTATTTCCTGTAGAAGGGAGTCAGGCGTGTTGTCCAGCAGACTGTGCAGGGTCCGCTTCAGCACAGACATGGCTTCATTATGGAACACCACTATGACGCTCACGGACGGCAAGTCGGGCACGAATGTCTGCATCTTGCAGCTACCGATTAAAACAGCACAAGACAAATCCATACAGGAATTCGAAGGATCAGAATAAAAAAAAAGACACTCATAAGCGCTTAAAATCATTCAAAAAAGGATATACAATGATGTAAATTATAGATTCGTTGAGGGAAACGTTTTTACTGGTACCATTTGTAAATAGCGTACAAAATGACTTCAGATTCAAATGTTGTCATGTTATACTGATGTTGCTTGAAAATAGTAATATATACGATAATTTTGTCATTATTACAAAGTTACACGATATGTTATCTGTAAAATATGGAACGTCATTCCCCAAAACTAGCTCAATTGTACTTAGAGTTTGTTAACAGTTATTCACTCTCATTGGTGGGTAAGATATAGCCTCCACCACGCCTTCCTCAAGGGGGTTATGTGGCCATAAGGTACAATTCGGCAAAAATAGGGTCTAACTGGACAATTAAGGGAGTGGGACCATCGTAAGGTTTTTATTTCCTCATGAGCGGGCAAATGAAGTTGTTTTTGAATCCGCGTTACGTTGTTATTCATTTGGTCTGGTTTAGTCTAGGTTAAGCACACATAGTGTGAAGTTTGCCCCTAATACGGAGACAAAAGTTCATTGCGATCAAAATTCTCTAGGAATCAAGGAACAAGGCAGCTGCTCTATTTACATAACTTTTAACCACCGACAAATGCCACAAGTGCTTTGTTTCCTCAACACAGCAGACCTTTGAACTCAATCAAACATTGTTAGTTTGGTACAAAGTGATTTATCTCCCGACGGAGTGAACATTTAATCCGTTTAATAATTTACACTTATCGGTTTATTCATCGCTACTGAAGTGTTGAGTTGCTGTGTGGGTCGGTGATCTATGTTAACAAAACTTTTGATCCGCTGTTTGTTCTAAGTTCATAGAAGTCTATCTCTCGGGTTGTTAATCAACGATTTGTTTGCGTTACAGTTTAGTGAGGGAGGAAGGCTTGAGAATTTGGTTAGTACATTGCACTCCAGAAGATTCTGTGACAGATTTGTTTCATTCCATGCCATATAACCTGGCGCAAATCTGATACTACTTTATTTATTTCCTTCTTACGAGTATAAAGGTGCAAATGTGGCTGATTAATACATATTATATTACAGAAAAACATTACAAGATCATAAAGTGTACAATGTATCTACATCTACTTACCTCTCAGGCCGTGAATACGGTAACGTCCTGTGTAGGGAGATCTGCTGGCTGAGCAACTCGTCCAGTCCGTATTTCTCCAACAGTTCGTTTCGTAGATTTTCCTGGGCTTCAGTCAAGTTGGTGAGATAGACTGCCACCCCGTTCTCTCCGGGAGAGTTGGGATCAGAAGGCGGCTTTAGGTGGACCGTAGGAAGGAACTGTGAACCTTGTGATACGGCCGATAGTTTTAGTGTGTTTCGTTCCTCTTTTTCTGAAATGGCTGTTGCTTTCCGCGATGCTTCAGTAGTGCGATCTTCAAAAGGCTTCAGCGGTTTTGTGTTAGTCGCTCTAGATATGGGCTCTACATTCCTGTGCTTCAGGTTTTCGTTATGTAGAAACCTATCTCCGAAGGTTTCCTCTAATTTTCTAGGACGAGTTGTTTCGTTGTAATTTTTACGGTCGTTTCTAGCTCGCCATGTCACCCGTGGAATATCAGTGTTACTTGTCGTGCCCCTATGAGTAGGGTGTTTAGTTCCATGAATGCTAGTGTTTTCACGTGTATCGCCTGTAGTACTTGTCCTTTGACCGCCCCGTTCTTTGCTATTTGCTGCGTAGTGTCCATTCATGTCAGTGTTTGGTTTGGAAGGGTCGCCGTTGACAGGTTTACCACTTTTCTGCTCGCACATTTTCAGTGCCTGTGACAGCCTGTCAAGTCCAGCCAGAAGGTCCCGGATCTCATAGCCCAAAGTTCCCTCAGAGTCCCCTTCTCTCGCGAATCCCCTGCCACGCACGGCGTTACGCCGACTCACTTTTTGACTGGCTCCTTCAGAATGTTGATAATGTATATAGTATATAACGAGGCCTGTCAAAATGAAAGAACAAACAATCCCCCACCTGATCGGTCCACGTGTTATTTTCCGCAGTCGCATGGTTGCATGTGTCCTTGTCCCGTCGGAGTGAGATCTAATAGACCTGACCCGTTTTACTTCTTATATAACCTCGCCAGCGTCCTTGTTGACATTGTCAAGTACAACTTCGCTACGTGCTTTTGATATGTGCACGTCTCGCGGTACCTTGAAGAACATTAGGGATTGGTGAAGTGATGATTGATGGTAAGCCGGATACTGGTCATTTGACCTATCATTTCACCTCAATTGTTTGTACCACCTCCGCGTTTGTTGAGTAAAGTTTACGTCAGAACTGGCACGTACCGTGGCTAAGGCAATACGGACACCAGTCGGGCTTGTCTCTGTGTTCAATACAAGAGTACACTGTCCTAAAGCCGATAGCAGATAAGACCATATGTGTGATTGGGTCTGTAGTATACATGTACAGTTTTGAAGGAATGTTATGGCAACTCAGAAATGCTTGCTAAACTTGTAACCATGAAGCCACGACACATAAGAAATGACCCTACCATCATTACACAAACAGTTATAAATGTAGTTCTGTGAAATAATACTGTTTAAGTTTAATAATTAATTAAGATCAATAGAAGTTCGAACTTTGTGGCTCATATTTTGAACATATCATCGCATAGTTGTCTACACATCGTGACTCAGCTGACGGTACGTATGGCACTGATCATACAAAAGCACAATCGCAAAATCCGAGTTGCAAACAGACATGTTTGATATCAAATAGAAGTGTGCACTCGTTCCCACACCCTACCCCTTGCAGTGTTTAACATCTATTAACTAACATAACATTGTATACAATCAAAGGACTTTACTGAAGAAAAGCAACACGAACCTCGTGCTTAGAGACTTCGATATCCGCACAGCAGAAATGCGGTTCGGGTATGTGATTGAAAGCACTGTGCTAGCGAGGAGGTGACATGCCACTTGGACAGTTAGAATGTCAAGGAAACCGCGCGAACAAAGGTTGAAGGTCACACCTAAGGACTCTATATCTTAGTGTAGTTTGAAACACACGCCAAACTACACGTATAAGCACAATTCATACAGCCATAACTTTACAAGCCATATCATAAGTAGCAAAACGTTTGGTCATGAAATCAAGTGATAATTGACAAATATGTAGGCGGGATTCTAATTTTTGGTACACATCATCGACGTTACAACACGGTGACGTGCAACAGCTCCTCCTCTCCCTCTGGTTCGGAACTGCAGACCGAGAAGGGCCTGTGATCGAAAGTGTTGTGGTGATTCGCAGACGTGTTGTTGTTTGCAGACCTTCTCTTCCTGTGAGTCTGTGGAGCAGTGCAAAAACATGCCTACGTGAATAACGGCTCGACACGCGTGGTCTTTTGAGGAGTCATCGTAAGAACGTTTATGAAGGTACATAGATCGTGCACGACTCAAAGAAAGAAACAAAGAACGATGTATAGTTACAACATACACAACGTGCGTTTATGTGCCTTCAGCACTACAAACATGCAGCCATTCACAGACAGTTCAGTAAGATGGAAAATCTTCGACTGTAAAGTCACGAGTTCTTGTTTAATGACGGCTACCTTTCTAGTCAATTTTTCACGGGTATAATTTTTAGACAGAGCTAGCGCAATGTATGAAATTTTTCGATTACTATATTTTGCTAAGCAACCAAAACCCAAGATTGCATACACTTTACCTCATTTCGATTTTCGTTCTCTCTTTGATTGCCACAACACGCTTCCCAGTCGGACCTGTACCTCCTAGCCTGGGACCTAAAGTTTCTGGCAATCGCTTCTGTTATCGACTTCGGTGCCTGGAAATCAAACACAAGGTTAAGATTTTGAGACTAAAGGTTTCTCAGTTCTTACTTCTTACAAAGAAAGGGTCTCTTCATTCATTCATTGGAAATTTGAAGGGGCCGAGACTAAGGTTTTCGAGGAAGTTGCTGAATCGCTTTCTGGTGTATTATAGACTCTAGTATATGATTGTTCACCTTGGGATGATTTCTGTTGACGTCCCGACATGACGCCACTAGCCACTCACACACCAGCACCACCAGACTGACGCACATCCCGCCGTAGATGACCACGAACACGCCCAGCATCTTGTTAATGGAGATCCTGTCCTGAGACGCGCCCGTGTTCTGGGACTTGTCACACTCGTTACTTGTAATCCTGGAGGGAACGTGAACTAGTGTGTCAGAGCTTGGCATGACAGGTAGCACCGTGTGAAGATACACACTGAATGCATGAAAAATGTGTATTCAATGTTAACCAGAGAGTCTGTTGTAGCAGACTCCACTCCAATGACGGTAAACGCTCTCTGGAAGAGCAGACACAAACTGCAGTGCATAAACACACACACACACACACACACACACACACACACACACACACACACACACACACACACACACACACACACACACACACACACACACACACACAAATTCAAACACACACGAAGCGGAACCGTACCATTTTTTGGTTAGTGTCTCTATAAAGCCTGACTCCCTGGCTGTAATAATGGCGTTAGAGAACTCTCCTGTGTAAGGCGAACCCTTGGCCAGTAGAACGCCGTATCCAGCATTCCGGAACAGACGGCCCACTGTTTTGATGTCGCACGGCTGTCTGGTTGCCTACGAAACAAGCAAACGTTTTAAAAACCTTTGACCTTGAAAATGTACAGAGTATACTCTTCGGCCTCGGCCGATTTCAAGACTTCAAGGGAGGATGGTCAGGGGTCTTGTTTATAATGCTTCAATGTTGCAGTTGTAACAATATAATAATGTCTGCAAAATCAGAGATCATAAAGATTTTTTGATAGTCACCGGCAATAATAATCCATATTTCATACATCATCACATCTAGCTTTAAAGGACCATAGCTAATCACGTTGTACACGTAATAATGATGACTGTTCAAGTCGTCCCGTCCCTAATATAGTACTCCCATTTTTTACAATCACTCGCAATATTTGCGGTGTAAATATAATCATTATGATGAAGACTTACTACATAATCCAGCACAACATTGTCACTGATGAAGGCGTATTTTCCTCCCCGCACTTTCCGCAATCCTTCATCCATACTCTTCACCATGACGTCGTCTCTCTTTTCCGTCATCAGTTTGGCCATGGTTATGTAAGGCTCGATTTTCGAGTCCAAGAAGAAACTCTCAGTTGCTCCGCTTCCTCGAGCTCCGTAAAGGACTTCAGACTGAAAAAGTAGAAGGTAAAGTTTGCATAACAAATGAATAATGGTTACCATCGCATGGTAAAAGGTATATGTTTTCCTTCTGCGAAGGTGTACACAAAAAGCCGGTTTGCCTGTGGTTATTTACTCCCGGTTTTCCTAATACTAGTAGCTAGAATACGTTTCAGCACCAAGGAGAGTACCTTCCATCAAAACTGTTATGATTCATACTGCAGCTAGGTGTCGCTGCTGCACTGCGTTTAGAAATGCGGTCCAAATGCTGATTGCTCTCACATTATATATTGTCACGTACAGTAATCATAAATAAGTTTCAGTTACTTCTTAGGAATGCTGCTCAAAACGAGTCTATAGCCTTCTTATACAGTCTCTTACCAACCTAACGAAAGTATTCACGAGTGACGTTCCATGTAAAGTTACATGTTTACCTGTCCTGCCAAGTCGTCCACGGAGTTGATGCCGCTCTGCAGCCTGCTGACTGTGAGGAAGGCGGCCAGGTTGGCGGTGTAGGTGGCTAACAGCACCATGGTGCCCAGGCCGAAGAAAATGGCGGTGATACGTCCTGTAAATACATTCGCGCACCATCGATGTTTATCAAACTCCATATGATATATTAGGAACCGGCCCGTTCATTATTTACATACATCTATATACATACGCTTTGAAAATGCAACGTCTATCAGCGTCCATGTGACGTGTACTGAGTTTGTGGTTTGTAGTAGTGGCTTCAAAGTTTTGATTTTTCCGCTCAACCTGACACACACTGGCGGAACATTTGAGGACTGATGACTGATGACTTTTAAGTGATTTGAGACAGAGAGCCATTTATGCCCCTTTCTGTCAGCAATTGGAATAGCGCGCCAAAAGATGAGTCCAATGAACAAACAATGAAGGAAATGTTAAACAATGGACACTGACCTGCATAAGACCGAGGGAAGATCTCGGGTCCGATCTGTACCAGCATGGTGAAGGACTGCCACACGGCGTCAGACAGGCGGTACGGCGGCTTTGCGTTGATGTCCTCATGCCGTCTCCTGCGCTTGCTCCTGGAAACATCAGCAGTATGTCTATAACTTCGTTGAAGTCATTTGCAAGTTCTTTACTTCATAAGTTTATTCAACAACCTTGTAGGTGTGTGTGGGTGGTGGCGTAACGGCAGAGTTCTGAGTTTGAATCCTGTCATGCCACCGAACTTGTGGCACGTCACACGACTTTCCTCACTTAACTCAGGTGAAAATAATGAGTATTTTCTGTGGAGCTTTGTGTTCGTGGCGGCATAAAAATAAATAGAAAAACTTGAGTGTGCCGTCACCATGTCTTGTGCTAAATGTTGGAATAAAAAATTCTTTGCGACATTTCGGCTGCTTTCGGTTGCCTCCATCAGGGTTCAACTAGAGGTCGGAGATCTCATGTCTTCGTCAGAGGTACATCGTTCTAGAGAAATTAACATGCGTATTCTTCACTCTTTTTTAATAATAATCAATTTGGTCTAAAGAACAAAAGAATCTCTGTACTACTTTTATGGTACAGAACACCCTGAAACGGTTTGCCGCAGATTATACAGATGCGTCGTCACCCGTGTTAGCCCCCCCCTTCCCTACGTTATTTGAGTTTGGACTGTTACTGGAAAAAAAACGTTCAAGAAATTCTTACTGTGTTGAAAGTGTCACGACAGCGCCGCAAAATATAATAAGAGAAGATGTTATAAAGAAAAGAATCAGAACAGGGTGACTACTGCTGTTTTGTTAATTTGTCTTTATGACAAATAGAAGACTTGTTTCTTGTGTTCTTTGTGTCCTAACATTTGTATTTCTACAGTTAGTATATTCCAAATCTAGGCATCTCGTTTTTCGGCCCTTCGTGTTTTTATTGCGCGCTTGCCTTAAATTTAAGGTAATTAGATTTAAGGTCTCCAGTGGACGTCATCCATAGCAATTACTTGGTGTGGCCGTAGAAAATAACCTGACATATGTCCAACCTATCCTCCCCCTGCTGAAGTTATAGTACAATCCCTCAATGTAACGTCATTTGATCCCATCCCATTATGGGGTTCCCCGGCTATATCCAGCTGTCGGCTGTCTCCAAGCAGATGTAGGTGGGGGATTTCTAAACACAAAAGGTCCTATTACGGGGACATAACGACCTCCACGACACTCATCTTTGAACTCAGTCTTGGAGACCACCACAGTAACATGCCTATCAAATTTCATTAACTTCCATCCACACATACAAAAGTTATCCTGCTCACAAGAATAATTAACAAAATGCCCCCTGTAGTCACAACGAAACCCCCCACGAAGCTCAGTAACGAACTTAACCTTGGTCCCAACAATAGTAAGCACCACACCAAGAATTATAATCAACATTTTACAAATACTTGAGTTATCTTGCTAACAAGCCACAAACACAAAAGGTGCACTAACGTGACGCACGGACCCCCCACGAAGCCGAAACTTGTACTTGACTTCGGCCTTAACAGCGGTAATCTGCCTGCCAAAAATCATGGACGTCGAATCATGCCTTCCAGAGTTATATCGCAAAATCCGCAGTTCCCCACACTCCGGCGAGACAATTTCATAGTCCTTCTGACGAAGACAATGAATGAAAATCTACACCAGTCATAGTCATAGACGAGGGGGATGTAGACACAGTCATGATTGTATTCTTCTTGCAGCAACGTCACCATGCGGTAGTAGAGTTCATTACACCCTAATAAAGCCAGGTGATGGCAGCCGTAAATTAATAATGATTATGGAGCAAGAAAGTGCACAATTTACGAGGAAAACCATCATACTCACCTTTCACCTTGCGCAGGCTGTTCCTGTCGGCGGTACCCAAATGGACTCAGGTAGTTGATGATTGCCTGAAATATGCCCACGGCTACCGCTGTCACCACAAACATGAACCACAGATCCCTCTCGAACGGTGTCAGGAAGTTTAGAAGGCTGGAAAAGACACAGGAAAGTAGTCATGAGTTGCACGAGAAACACCCCCAAATCGTAGGTTAACAGGGCACTATATAGATGGTACTGTATGTGCAGCACATATATATTTATACTATGTCTACACTTCTCATGCCTATTCACAGCATATACATGTGATCAGTACCTGTAGGTTTTAGTCTCCTCTTTGCCCATAATGAAGGTCAGGCCGACATCGACATACGGCATGGTGAAGTCACACGCCTCCTCCCGCTGGGCCGTGATGGTCAGCGTGGCCATGGCAATATCTGCTGTCTGTCAACAAACATCAAGTATTATTTGTTTCAACTTTTCAGAATATTCGTGAGAAGCTCAACACGGCCTGCAGGCCGCTTTTTATTGAGGTCATGAGACGTAAGGGTTAGATCAAAGGTCAGGCAAAATGTATCGAAAAGATAAAGGTTACATCAATTAAAGTCCTGATAAATCCATTCACATTGTTTTAATATCTGTTGGACATCATTATGAAAACCATGACCATACATACAATACATATTACCATTCTTTTCATTATCGCTCTATATAAATAATCTACATACACAGAAAACATGTACAGAGCATATTTTATTAAAAACATTTGCATGTTTATTTAGGTTAGAGTGTTACCTTTGTAATAACGTCCTGAACCATGCCGTTCCAACGCTTCAGCTCAGGATCGTAGGCCCCGAAATTACCATCTTCTACTTCGTACAGCTCGTACTTGAAGCCAAGTTTTTCTGACAGCCACTCAAGGAGATCTATACAGAAGCCTGTAGATCAACGGAAAACAATAATGTAGTTCTGAACGTGGAGCGACAGGAAGTGGCAATATTCACCAAATCCTGAAACCTGCAAACTCTTGATGCACATGATTGCAATAAGGCAACTGTCCATTACAAATGTACAATAGGGCATATCCCTGAACACGTGTATGTAATACAAATGTGCGCAGGTATTCAAGGCACACTATAGCCTGGGGGATAATTGTAAAAGTGCCTCACCAGAAAATCGGGCTTTGCCGGTCAGGTTTTTGCCCCAGTCGTCCGTGTCCCTGATGTGGACGAAACCTTGCTCCTTGTGCGTCACCACCCTCAGAGTTCTGTTGCTGAGATCGCTGATGAAGTCGATGACCTCTTGCTGTCCTCCCATGAAGGTCACGCTTTCTGGCAAGGTCAGTCCCGATGAGTCGTTCCACCGTCCGACCTGCAACAGGGGGTCACGGTCGGGTCAACTCGTGAATGGAACACGCATGCAGTAAATTGGTTTGAGCACGGTTCTTTTCCTGGGAGCCTTTCTGCAGCATGCCATGCATAGAAACTACTAGTATCATATTAGCGATCTACCACCACTTGCGTTCTTTAGCACCAGTGACGTTAAAGGTTTTACACACGCCACAGAGGCATCACTACAGTAACTATATATCAATAGCTTCCTCCATACTCAAATGATTTAGTACTTCAATAGAATACGTATACGAAATAGTAACACTTATGTACTGATTTATTCCTTGGCTAAGGAACAGTCTCCTACCTTTTTCCAACGGTGTTTATCGAGAGTGACGACATCATAGACTGCGTTCCTTGAGCTCCCGTCTGACTTCATACTAACACGTCCGGTCACACCGGGCCCATCTACCTGTAGATCATGAATGACATTAACGACGGTTAGTACACTGTCTCGTTAGCTGTAGGTATACAGTAGGATTCTGTTTGATATCAGCAAAGTTCCAGCTCATGTTTCCTAGAAAGACTAAACTTGGGAATGAAAACATCTACAATATCGTCAACAAATGATGTATGATTTTATGATCCACGTGAATGGCTTAATATTTCAAGGTTCTCCACACTAAAAAAGTGAACGATACATGATGTACATGGAGACATCTAGCACCTGTTTCAGGTACTGCAGGAAGGTTTCGCCCCTGGACCACTCAGGATGCGGGATGAGGGAACAGTTGAGGGACTCGGTGTCCACGGTCTCCCCGGCAGCGAGCATGTCCCGCAGACCGTACGCCAGCAGGAGCACGGCGTCCATGGCCTTTCCTGCGTACGCCTGTCGGGAAAACAAAAGAACCCCGTTGATTGTCTGGAAGTTTTCTCGATAAAACTATTTAGAATCCTATTTGCACCATGCAGTCACTGATTTTCCTCGAACGATTAAAAAAATGCTAAACAACATAGAAACATACAAGACACTATGGTGAGAATCTCTAGCTACTTTTTCAGCCTCACCACTGACAAAGAATAATGTAATGACCAACACAAAAGAGTATTAAGTTTACTTACCACCATCGTCCCGTTTCCAACCCCAGGGTACAGCACAGGGTCGGCTGCCATCCATCTGCGCAGGAATTCACCCTTCAACTCGCCAGCATCATCTACTATGTACACGCCGAGTAGACCTTCGTAGTAGTCAGGCATGTCCTCAACGCCAGGGAATAATATCTAAAGATACACAAGTTTTCTTATATTACAGTGACATTTTGTGCAATTTTGTGCAATTTTGCAAACTTAAAAAGTTGTCACAACCAATAATCCTAACTGGAATTATGGAGAAGGATTAAACTTTTTGGCTGGCCGAATTTTCATTTTATAGTCTTCCCAGGATAACTGAGAATCTGATTGCTCAAAGCACGTGATCCTCCGCGGACGTATATCGTGAGTAGCGGGTCAAAGGTGGTTGGAAGTCGGTATCGACCACCGTCCCGAGTCAATATAAAGATTAAGTACTATAGTTGGTACATCCACCAGTCTTAGTAAGGGATAAACCACTCACAGATCCGGTGATGCCGACTGTGACGATCCACTGCCACCCCGCTCCCACCATGCCGTGATCGTTAGCCTGCTTCAGGATGACTTTACCGTACTCAACTACACTGTTCAGAATGATGATTCTCGCACCTGCAAATTTTTAGTCATAAATCTTTACTGTACATAATTTAATTCAGCATAGAGTTGAAACATAGAAATGATGATGTCGTTGTCATAACAATAAATGTTGATGAATGTAGCGCAGAATATGGGGCTACTTTTCCTTCCGATGGACACCTCGTCGAAATACAACTGGTCTGTGGAACAAAGTGCAATCAACACAGTCAGACTCAGAGGCTATTAAAAGCATTTCATTTATATATTCAAGTATCTGTTTCGTACCTGATGACTTGATAGCACGGAGCTGTTGGCTGATGTCCAGGTCCTCGGCGTTCTTGGTGGGGGTGAATCCTTGAACACTGCGAATCAGCCAACCTTTCATTCCCGCTAGTTTCTCAAATTCTACAATACCGTGCGTTCCTGTATGGGGGGGAGGGGGGCGGCGAATACACGAGCAATCAGTGGCTAATTTCATTGTTGAACATATCACATGAAATAACTTCGTCACAGCATTGACAATGGGATAGGAAACAGGAACAATATCTTACGATGCATCTCTAAAAATCAAACCATTGATAGTGTTTGATCCACACTTCAGATAAGCAAATGGACATCATGTGCGCGTGACATTTCACACTATTCTAGTTTATTGATCACATTAATAATCAGAAATCAGCCAGAAAGTTGGTCTTCATGTATTTGTTTCATCATAAACGATCGAGAAACCATAGCTCACCAAAGTCGTCAGTAGACATGATGATGCTCATCTGGCTCCAGCCGAAATGTTCGATCAGTTCTGCCAGTGCCAGGCCCTGGGAGGCGTCTGACGGACTCATGCGGAGAAGGTACTCGTTGATCTCCTGGTTGGCTAAGTACGGGTCTGTCGCCGCGTACGAAATCTATGGGTATGGGGACAGTTGAGAAATCGTCAATGGTACGTTTCTACGTTTTATTCTACGTTGTAAAGTTACAAACCTGGTCCGTTTCTATAACCATAGTATACTTTCACAGCCGATCCTTTTCGAACGCTGAATTTTGGAAAACGACAATTGAAATTCTATGACAAACAACACAGTGTAAGAGTCTGGTAGCATATAACCAGGTAATCGGTAATACATGGTTCATACCTGAGGTATGTTGAGTGAAGAGCTGACGAGTTGTGTGGCTTTGACTTGTGAAGACCCGTGAGGACCGAGGATGGTCACGATTCCCTCCTCTGTCTGTCGACAGCCTGTAACAGACATGCGTCACAAAATTACAGATAAAAGGGAGCAAATAGTGCAGCTCTAGAATTAAGAGGTTAAGAACTGAATTGACTTGACAGGGCTGCATAAACGATAAAATGATCAGCGTCCTTACGGAATGATGAATAATTACCAACCAAACTCGAGTGATCTTTTGTTTCAGACACCGTTTCTCAAGAGCAACCTGAACGTTTTAGATCTCGGTCAAGGCATTGGTACAACAATATCGCTTGTGTCAAGCGCAAAAAATTGTGTGTCCTCTGAACATAATTCGTGCTTCCAGTTGGACTGAGCTTAGGTTAGTTTAGGTGAAATACGTGACTCCTGCCAATGGCACTGAACAATGCTATCATCATAGTAGACCTGGCTCAAGGCGAGATCAATGACAACAAAGTATATCCTGCCAAGTGTAACAGAATGTATAATAACCTCTCCCCTAAATTCGCACGTGCACAGTTGTCTAAAAACGTCAACAACAAGACTACAATACATGCGTCAAATAATCAAAATAGCTCATTGGCAGGTGGCTGGTTGATAGCCCGACTTGTTATGATGTTAAAATAAAATGATAGCGCACTGTTGTGTCAGGTTTGCTTTACAACTTCCGAAGTTCAGGTTTTATATGTCCTGAGGGGGAGTGGGAGGGGCATTCAGGTGCTCTTAGTATATTGTATTTGCAATTGTTTCTGTGTGTACAATACCATACTACCGATTGTGGAAAGATTTGGGGAACACGAGCTTTGTACAAACTTTCTGTTATAATTTCCTTAATACAAGACGCAGACATATTTCATGTATCTTAAGAATACACACACTACACTGATAGGACAACTCGACCCAACACCTACCTAGATATAAAGAATTGTTATTTTTTTGTACCTTTTAGAACCATTTCAAAGTGGTCAAGTGACTCGGCAGTACTCAGAAGATATTGCAGCGTGACCCCGGGAACGATGTCCTTCTCGTTCACATAGTCCACAGCAAGTCTCATAGCTGAGAGTTCTCTCAGTCTATTTGTAGGAAATATGGCGCCTGAGAACAACACATGAACATGATATTAGCAAACAATAACTGTTGGGAACTAACTCCAGCCTCCATATGTTTCAAGAACTTCGAATTTGCCTGACTACGTTTACTCTACTCTCAGGCCGGCCGGAGAGGGTTTGGAGGGGGACTCAGATTGTAACTGAAAAGAGTTCCGCCGCGGATCTGTTGCGGTCTGAATGAAAAGCCCTGTACACACATATAATCCATACTAGCCACACACTCGTGGATTAGGTAGGTTAGCCTTATGGAATTGTAGTTATACACCAGTAGATGCCATACCCCGTACAATTGATGTACTCATTTCAACTTGAGTACACAAATCACGGGAAGAACATTTACAAGTTTAAAAATATCAACATTTCCTGAAAACTAATGTTCATTAGTTTGCCATAGACATAACCACAGGGACCTTTTGTGTTATTCGCCTTCCTGACATTAGTGATTTTGTAGCGCACACGCGATATAAAATACTGTCTACAAATGTATCAACAAATACTTCAAAATTGATAAAATGGCAGACTCACCAAAACGTGCGACAGCGGCCATGCTTCTTCTAAAGGTCATGGCGATAACCAGTGAAGCAAGAAACACGGCTTTCGTACCCTCCATTATGGACGCTGCCTTTTGTTCCCTCTGTCTGAAAAAAAGTATACCTAGTAGGCTAGTACTCCGTCTGATAGTCTCCCTGCGCACATACACAAACCGTGTGCGATAGTCAACAAGAGCCAGGCACATCGTAAATTCCATTTGTACGATCGCAAACTGAGGCATTCTTTTGTGTCCTCACATTAAACTGGCTTATTACGGAAAAGGCTGTCTTATGGTTGATTCTGTCACAACACGCATGAAAATTGAAAACTCTGCGGCATTGAAAACTGTACGATGACCTACGGTGAGTGTGACGTAACGTTACCTACCTATGATATCAAAGCAGCGCAACAGCACAGAGCATGCCTTCTCGAAATGTCTTCAGCCTCAGCCAAGCACGATGTTTTGGCCTATGACATCCCAATGAAGTCGAAATAATAAGCATAACAAGTCCGGTGAATTGTCACAAGACAGGGTTTGACCTCCCCCAGGCTACACGAGGGAAACGCCTTATCAGTTATGTCATATTGTTTACAGCAAAAAACAACCAGTATTCAACAGTATTTGCCAGAGGGTACATGTATACGTTCTTACTAAGACAGCAGAACATTGCAAATTGAGTCTTTGAATTGAGTTTTTAGGATAATCCCTATATTTCACCCATGTTAATCAGTGGCTCTTCGCGTTAATCATTCTTTTTCACGCATGACTGACGCCACATTTCGGTAGCGTGTACTTCTTCTGCTTGGAACGTGCAATTACCTACTCAGCTGTGCACAGTACGTAAGAGATGTTACAGTAGCGATTACAAACATTTAAAACTCTTGGAAACTATGTTTGTACGTTTGAGACAGACAATGTTTGACACGTGTTTTTCAGAACTCTAGTCACTCCCCAATTTTCTGAGTCATTCGTCACACCTGAGTGACTTGGGAGTGTTTCATAAGGACCCCACTTAACATTTCAGAAAGAACACGGTAATCCAGCACAATTACCTGTAAGTGTGTGGGATATTATGTGGTTATGATTCGTGGGTTCGGGCATGGTGAGATTTTGTTTTCTGTAAAGGTGGCCTAGACGATGATATAACGAAATATCGTATGAATGTATGTATGAATGTAAGTATGTATGAATGTGCCTTAAATGTTGTTGACCTCTTCGAGGTCATATATCCATCAGGAGATATATATTAGGCGATCCCATTCACATTATCAGGGGGTAAAATGTGTTAGCCTTTTTTTTATCCTCGGATATTTCGTGTTCGGTCAATAAACTTTTCGGCGTTTTCAAGGCTGGTCTTTCATGTAAAAACATAAACTCCCTCTGTCCTTTAAAACTTTTTTACGGATTAGCCGTGAAAGAACCCCCAAGAACCCCCCCCCGACTGTCACAATGACGCGGTCGAGCTGTTTTGTCTCCATTATTCGTCAACCAAGTGAAAGGGACAAATCAATCATTGGGAGGTGCCCTTATCTTTTAAACGTTTGTGCATTACGTAACATTTGTAATGCCTTCACACACCAATATTTTCGCGATATTTTCAAGACGTTCATTGTCATGATGGGCGTTAAGTCCCTTGACACTTTGAAAACAATACTGTGTGAGTAAAAACGCAGATTCTCCTAGCCCTGAAGCCAAATGTTAAGTGTTTTCGTCGTCCTTGACAAGTATGTGGACATTAATCACACATGAATTCATCTCAACAAGAATTGCTCTGTTTACGTGTAAATCTTTGCTATAAAACACCCAATATTTCGCGTAGTGCACAAAAATGACGAGGGCACCATTACATGTACATTACGTTTGAAAACGACCGTTTATTATCTGAATTATTGCTTTGAATCAGACATAGCAGCAGGCGTTCTGGGCATATGGTAAACATCTATCGGCATCCATTTTCGTGAGTGCACATTTATCATGTGAAAATTATCACGTCAACAGAGGCTACGTATACAGACTATGGCATCTTCCATACTTCATTCAAAAGTATATACATACCTATGTCTACTTTAGAATTGTCTGGTAAACGTGAACTGGTTTAGAGTACATGTCAGGTGCGGGGTCACCGAATCACGTCCCTGTCCGTGTGCATCACAAGAATGTTCCCAAGGGCACAAATACCGCTTGCCATGATGATCTAATTTCAGGGAGAAGGGTGCATTCTGCAATTATATAATTTCATAGTCGAGAATGAATCACATGGTTTTGAGTAGGTATTATATAAGACACTATATATCATGTGAACAACTGACTGCCAAGCACACAGAGAAAGTATCCGATCATGAGCTAATAGTTTGAAGCTTTAGAGTTTCTTAATTCACTTTGTTCGGTGCATGTCCTCAGGGTACCGAAGCGTGTTGTATGTTATGCATATGCATGCGAGAAACGACATCTTGAATTAGCCAGACAGCGCTAAATGTGTTAATTGTTCGTGCTAACGCGTTAGAGGTTGTACATCTTCATGTATAAGCAAGACTGACCTTGAAAGGTTCCAGATTGATATGATAGAATCTATATGCCGCAAGCAACAGATCTCATGATCGTTGTGGTTATTGTCATTCGATAACTCAATATTCTCTTCAATAGATAAAACCATAATTTTTCCAGAAATGACATTTTTGTGCTCAAAGAAATGGCGGCGTTCAATCAAGGTATATTCAAGGTATTTCAGCTTATACTTTGACCAACTCCTTTCCTATAAGCTTTATTCTTGTTGTGTTATTTCCATTTCAAACCATGAATTGGAATACTAAGAAGTGGAATGCATCTGTATTAAAATATATCTGGTCCATCCCAAAACATATTTTAGGACTAGGACGTTTTGGAATGCAACACCTGTTTTGTATACATATATGTAATACATGTAATGCTCATGTGCAGCAGCGCCCTCTTGCGGAGCATCAGTAGCATGCATCCTAATTAAAATGATGACAACATCGTTTTTTCCCGAAATAAAGTCATTCATTCATTCATTCATTCAAATAGATAGGGAAACGATTCCTCGAGTACGAAAGATAGAAGATAAAAAAAGGTGCAAAAAAAAAGGTCAACATAAGTGCAAAAAGAGGAAGGAAGACTATTCATTTTGCGAGTATTTTAAATGCTTTTAAATTTGCATCTACATCCATATAAGGTCTTCTCATATAATAACGCCGCCAATATGTTGCATTTTTATGTCTAGATTCGCCCCCATATCATTTCTCGAGAGTGAAATAGCAGAGAAGAAATTAAAATGCATTTCGTTGCGATGGAAACGGTTGCTGCAGCAACAGTTTTATTTTGTTGCAGACAGCTAATGTGGTCTTAGTTTTAGTGTCTGGCAGTTTGCGTCCTGATTCTATGTCTAATTCTATTATTATCATATGACAGGGCAAAATGCTTAGAAACGAAGCGTGACATCATGTGGATTGCTTATAATGACACAAAATTAAAGCCTAAGGCGATGATATCACTATATATAACGCGGTTGAAGGCACGTACGTACGTACGTGTTCAATAGTTTAGCATGTACGTCTTCGGGGCATTTTTGAGACCTTGATATGAGTATCTCAAATAAGCACAGACGTCAAATTCTACGCATGAAACAGAGCAAGAGTATCATTTGTGGTAACGACATTTCTTCACTGTTTTACAGTTGTCTTTGTGTTTTAGTTTTATGAAATCCCGAGCTTGGCATCGCCATAAGTTGTGTTTAGTCAAGGAGCTTATAGGGAGATATATGTAAGCTCCTTGGTTTAGTATACTAGTATACAGTTTTGGGCACACAAAATTGCGGCCGCTTACATACGATGTACACTTCGACACTTTCCAGATACCAAGTGTTGTGTATTCATAGCGCACCTTTCGCCCAAGCGTCATGCTGAGGACTAACTCAATCTTAATCATAATCCAGTGCACAGAAAACACTTTTGCTTGCAGCCCTTCTGGTAATCTTTTTTGTGAAGACAAATGCCAAGGTCGTGGTGGGATGAATTTCAATATTCTGAAAAATGTTCTGGAGATTGAATGGATGGCCCCAGGCTAGTCATATTAGGCCACACTGACTCAATTTTATGGATGACATCCTCTGAAGACACCCAATCTAGAGCGCGCTGGCGAATAAAAAAAGTCCAGCCAAAAATGCAGCTAAACCACAGGAATACAAAACTGGTATTGTGAATTGCAGTAGTACATAGCGACTTTTACGGCAAGTCGGCACATGCTGGCGTTTTGCGGAATTTGTGAATCGGTACTGTACTGAGTTCTTGAGTTCCGTGGAGTTTGAGTGCCGTCCTCCGTAGTTACCATCGGCTCCCTGTAAACTGTAAACTGTATTGTCGCTAGCTACCATGGACGACGGAGGATGGCACCCAGCTGCAGACCAGTGCCTCCTCGGAGGTGATTTTTTTAAGAACAGGCGAAAATCAATGCGCGCGCGGATGTCATCCATGAAATTAAGTCGGAGTGGCCTGAGAGATGGCTCCGTATATCCGTTACGAAACCTGTCACGAATGTCAGTCGTCCATATATCTTCAATACTTTGTGACATATCAAAACAACATGTCGCGCTATATCAGATATATCAACCCCTTAGTGATATAGCCCGTATGTGTGATACGGTTTTACATGCTGAAAACATTGAAATATTCCAACGTTTCTCTTCAGTTTCGTCTTTTCTGTCAATTCTCTGATGTAACTCTTAAAAACAGCATAATTTTGCCATAAATGTACGTAACACCGTGCACTTAGTTTTTTTAAAAGAGACACTGATTTTGATTTGATTTGTAAGATTGAATGGAAATTTGTCATCTGTGTTCTACACGTAGGTGCATTACGTTATTACAATCTAAATCAAATCAAAAATTAAATTGGTGGCGCCCTTCACCTACATGATCATGAAAGGGATAGATCGGTGTGCATGGTGTTACGTATGGTAGAAATTACTAGTATGCTGTTTTTATTTTCCAGAAATTTCTTTAAATGTCTTTTATATGACCTATAAGTTGCCATATGAATCAAATATTCG